TGTGTGCCCTTGTGCGGACAGGAGATGTGCCCCCTCTGAAGCTGGAAACCTTGTTTTTGCAAAATAAATTGATGCAATTTGCTGTTATAGGCCCAATCAATAAATTCCTTATCAACCGATATAACCTTAAGCATTCTTGGAATTGACATAACATTACTGATGTCGTACACACCCTTCAGTGTGAAATGTGGCTCTCTTTGCAAGCACATCTAACATCTAAGGAAAGAAGAGCTTAGCTTGGTACCAGATAAAATAATTTTGTTATCAACATTAATACATTATGCTAATTTTCATCTTTGTAAGCGCATAAGACAGTGCAAATTATTTCTGTGACAGTCTTTTGAAGTGTGTAAGGCTCCATTTTATCCTATACATAGTCAAAATATTGGGGGGATGATTCAATGGACCATCCTCCCCTTGTCAAATATTGGGGGGGGGGATATATCCCCTCCATCCCCCCGGGATCTACGCCTATGATTATTAATTATTCACGAAAGCATTATTCGAGCCCCTTTATTATTATTATTTTTTTTTTTTTTTGATATATATTATTTATCAACCATATTAACATTGAAAACATGAATATGCATATGTGGATAAAATTATCGCAGAAAATAAACTTATAATTTATAAGATTATTTTTTAAAACAGAATCAAATAGATAATGTTTTTATTTTAAAATAGGTTTTGCATGGACGTAATTTTATTTAATATGCTGATTATTACTATTTCATTAATCAAACTATCGTAAAATTATTATTATTATTATTATTATTATTATTATTATTATTATTATTATTATTATTATTATTGTTATTATTGTTATTGTTATTGTTATTATTATTGAATTGGATTGGATTGGATTTATTCTGTGTAAACACCAAGGATAGCCCACGAATTCTAGAAGAAGAAACAGAAAAACAGAATAAAATAGATAATGTTTTTATTTAAAAGCATGGACTTAATTTTATTTATTATTCTGATTATTACTATTTCATTAATCAAACTAATTGTTAAACAAATATAATATAATGTTAACAATAACATTAGGCTAATCTAGACCTAATTAATTATTGATACAACACCTTCATGACAGTCTGGCCCTCCAAATCTTGCTTTAATAAATAACTGAATTCACTTCAATGATATATTCTGATCTTCATTCATTATTATTATTATCATTTACTTTTTATTATTATTTATTTATTATTATTATTATCTGTATTATTATTATCATTATTATCATTATTATTATTATTATTATTATTATTATTATTATTATTATTATTATTATTATTGTCTGTGCCATTAACATTATCATTGTTTCTCTTGAAGGTGTCTTGTACAGGGACATGTTCCTTTTTGCCTAACCAGTCTCATTACGTTTTGAGTGAAATAAAATTATGAATTATGAATTATACCAATGTCATCTGTCGATAAAAACATCGATTCGATTAATTAACAGCAGCTTTTCGCACTGTGGCAGTGCCGATAGAAAACAGCAACTTTTTGGCACTGCGGCAGTGCCGATAGAAAACGGTAGCTTTTTGGCTTTTTTTGGCACTGTGGCAGTGCCAAATCGGCACTGCGGCAGTGCCGATAGCCACTACCATCTCAAAACCACATCTGCCAATGATGGAGGTTGTCGACGAAGTGGATGGCCTAATCAAAATAGGACCTAAGTCTGCATCTAACCACATCAATAAAAACTTAAAGACTTCTCCTCAATGGGCACAAAGACAAGTTATGCTTCTTTTGCATCGCTTGCTAGACAAAACTGATGATAACAACACCATTTGTTGGTGTCGTTCGTTGTTGTCTGCAGGAAATTCGTTCGACGATTTTAGGCGTGAAGTGCTTGAGTACGACGACGCATCGAGTTGTGGGCTAGTTTGGACAGCAAACTTTGTGGCCTACAGATGTCGAACGTGTGGTGTAACTCCTTGTATGTCAGTTTGTTCAGATTGTTTTCATAACAGTGATCACAAAGGCCATGACTTCAACATGTTCCGTAGCCATGCAGGAGGGGCCTGTGACTGTGGTGACAGTCATGCTATGCGCAGTACTGGGTAGGCCTAACTATTAATATCTACTAGGTCTAGGCCTATAAATTTATAATATGTTTACTTGACATTATAAAAAAAAGAAAAATAATAATAATACTTTAATTTAGGCCTATTGTAGGCCCAGGCTTATTATTGTATACATACGGTGTCAGTGACATATGTAGTGTAGGAGACTGGAAAAAGTGGAGGTGGGGGGGGGGGAGACTTGTGTATGGGGGAACAAGCTTTTTTTTTAAATTAAGGCGTGCACTCCCCCGCTCATCCTCTGGATACACCACTGTTGCTATAAACACCCTAACAGTTTGTCACTAAGTGTTGTCTTGTACTGCTACAGTACTCTACTATGTACTAGGAAGGACTGGCTCATCTATAAGGGCCCCTTGACATATACATTAGAATTGGTCCCTCTGTATCCTCTTCTGCAGAGTACAACTTTTAAAAAACGATTGCATTCTGCATTTTTCCATAGTTGTTTCTTTACAGAGATTTTCTGAGTACATCAAATTGCTTTGGGTGCGTTTGGAGTTTTTTGTGGAGTCTAACACGGTATAAATCCGGAAACGGCCATTTTGAGTTCTTGCCTGAATGGGTGTTAATCACAGACCGCCTCCTGATATCTGCTGATAATCCAACGCTGCAAATTCCAGTGTTTTAGAGGAGCAAAAGCAGCATGCTTTAGCAGCAGGGAGCATTCTTTATCACTTAAATCCCTTTTTGATCTCTTTTATTGTTTCAGCACACGCCAGAAGTAAAGTCTTTAAATTTTGGGGGAGGGGGCTAGCCTAGAATCCAGATTGTTACCCTATTACATACATCCGCCGTATGCATACGTGATCGTGGAACCACTGCTTATTCATTTAACAATGGTAGTAAATTTCGGTTTTAAACTACCACTGCTAACCGAATGAAAGTTTATTCTGGGTTTATACTGTACACCCAAAATACACATCTGCGATTTATTGGGAGTTTTCAATGTAAGCCTTATGCTTTATGAAGCTTATTGTTGTAGCTTCTTCGGTCATATCATGGATTTTGAGACAATAACATTGTGCAGTGTACCAACTCCAATGTCTGTTTCTTAATTAAAACGTGGGGTGACACAAGGGTCCAGGGAGACTTGATAAAACTCATCATTTGCATAATACCTTAGGTCTTACGTCAGAGGTTAATGGTTTTTTGAAAGCCGAGTTCTGCACGAACTGGTAGACCAATCGCGGATACAATACTGGTAAGAACCCTATTATATACTGCATGATTATCTGAAAAATACAGATCATGTAGTACCTTGTAATGCTTTAAGCGTGTCCCAAGTGAATGCACAAACGTTGACTTAGCCACTATTTCAGGAATAATTTATTATCAAGAGAACAAATATCAAACACACCTTTTTAAATTTTTCATGTTTAGATTTTGTACCAAACATGGCCCAGGAAAAAGACAAGTACAGAAGCCTCCCCCTCATCTGCTTGGATTGGCCGAGCTGGTTGTCCCCAGGCTTATCTATCATCTTGTTCTGCGATTACGGAAGCTTTATCAGAAAGGTAGTTAGTTTTGCATGCTTGGCATTTAAAACTTGAGAATAAGACAACAAACCTAGTACAGTTTCTTTTTCTGGTGCATCTCGAATAAATTATAGTAAATTGTATAATAGTTTTAAATATTTATCAGGCATATGAATATGTACCAATGAAAAACTGAACAGTAATATTTTCTTTGTGTACACTGTGCTAATCGAAGCAGCATTGAGGCTGTAGGTAGCGCTGCTGCAGCTTCTGCCTTATTTGTATGGCCAATCGATATTCCACTTAACCTGGGGGATTGGAAAAAAAGTTTTATTTTTAACAACCAAGATACAGCTTTACTCAATTTAAGTGTTTGTTTTCTTTTTAGAAAAGACAGGTACTTACAAGCTAACACAAGCCATGGAACTGAAAATTGAGCAAATTGTAAATCTGCTTGATGATCTCAGTAAAATGGGAGGAGCTATGAAGACAGTACTCTGTCAATCATTATGCAGCCCTGAACTCTACAAAACTCTCACTGAAGGTCATATAGTACTCTTTTTATTTACTGTATGTATGTTGACAGTATAAATCAATCAGTCAGTTGTTAAACCAATTAATCAATAAACCTATCAATCAATATATCAGTTAAGTAATCATTTAGTCAGTCTTTCAGCTAATCAATCAATAAATCAGTAGATCTGATGATCTAGTCCCAAGTGGTGTTAAGTGGCAGGGTGCTAGTGGGGGTCTGAATACAGTAGAAGCCCTTTAACAGGACGCCTATTAGAAAGACAGGCCTAATAGGGAAACTTGTGTCACAAATTTATGTAATAAATTGAATAATTTATTTTGATACCTTGTTTAACAGATGAGTTGATATTGCTTCCTGACGATGATAAAAAGACATATAAGGAGTTGTCTAACGAGGAGTACAAAACCGCCCTGTGTACCCTACCGACACCATCAATTCCTGACGTTTTACAAGGTACAAGTTGAAGTTATTTTGCATTTAAAATGTAAAAATTATTTTATAAATCATCTTTTTTTTAAGATCATCACTTTCATTTGCACTGAATTTTCCTTTTCTCGACTGATCACTAATTCGATATAGTGCCTCCGATTTTTTGCCTCGTGTGCAAAATGTTCAAAGCTGGGGTGATTTTACTACAGTACATTGCGATAATATAAATGTTTCTAGGCTATGAATGCACACAGGGAACTCAACAAATCTTGCTCTACGACCCTGGTTAACAAGAATGAAGCCTATGTTCAAGACCTAGAAAGCCATAATGGTTATGATATAACAAAGTGATTAACTTATAACAGAACTGAAAAAATATGGCTGAAATAATTCATGTTTACAATACATTACAGGGCTTGCCCTAACTTTTTTTGGTAACTAGCCCACTGGGCTAGTTTACTAGAGATTTTACTAGCCCACAGAATATTTTACTAGCCCACAGCCCACAGACAGGAAAAAATTTTGTTTCGAAATATTTATTAGCGACAATTAAATTCGAAGTTTGATTTGCAATTTCATATTTTCTGTAGCATTGCTGTTTGAGCTACCCTCTCAAATTATTGTTGAATACTAAAATGAAAAAAATCACCCATGCTGCAAAATCGACTTATAACACCAACAGGGACAGATGAGCATGTTTTACATCTCCCTGGTTATAACGTCGGCATTCTAATATTTAACAAAGGGCCAAGAAATCAATCAAATCAAAGCAATGCATCTGTTAAATTTTTAGGTCTCAAGTTACTCACCCCCAATGGCAATAAATCTTGCTTAGGCTAGGCTAGGCTAGGCTACCTTGGCCTAGGCCTAGATAAGACATAGGGCCTAGGCTAGCCTAGCCTACCTTCCTATAGCATTGAAGTACTTAATTATTAAAAGTTGAACATTTGATAAATATCATTATGAGAAAATAATATTATTATAAGGTTGTACATATTATTATAAGGTTGTACATTAAATTAAATGACCACCTAAATTAACCAGGTTGAACGATCAAACGATCTTCTGTTGAGAGATAACATGCCATCCTGTAGTGGTTGGTAAATGACTTGGGGATCATCTTAATAATTCAACACTCACGCATGTGAAGAGCTGAAAGCTACCTACAGTGGGCTGCGGTATCCCTTATGCAGGGATTGTCTCGAAAGTAAATGAATTTCTTGCTAATTCTCCACTAGACAACCGGGCAACATGAGGAGTAAATAGGCTAGCCCGGATCGGTTTTTACTAGACATTGTACGCCGGGCTAGTACTAAATCGAGCCCTGCATTACTATTAAACAAATGTCTACCAGGAGGTTAGGCTTACCAAATAACGCCTAATAAACTTCATTAATCACAATCAATTTATTCATCTTCATATTGCGAAGACCTGCGAAGAGTGTCAGTGTGTGTATAACTAACAAATTATTCTAATACATGCAGCTTTTGTTCATGTTAATGACTTTTAAATTATATTAACTTCTTAAGCCGCAATCGCACTGGATTTAAAATAGGGAAATTTTTACCGAGACTGTGGGTAACATTCTAATGGGTAAACATCCTGTCGTCCGCACTGGGATTTATCGACGTGGTTAGTTTTACCACAGGCCATGGTGAAACTAACCATTCGTACAGATTCAACTATTGGGGGCCGTTGACGCTCACGTACGACAGATCGTAACAAGCTAAACCGCCGGGTTCTCCGACTCGGTTAAATTAACCGCGCGGCTTGGGTAAGTTTTCTGTCAGGTAAACTTCCTGTGCTGTTCGCACTGGACTAATTATGGTAAAACTAGCCAACGTGTTGGTTAGTTTTACCAAAAAATGTCCAGTGCGATTGTGGCTAAAGACTTCGTAATCTTGATATAGAGGAATTTGTTCATTATTGTACTACTTTTGTCACTATCTAGATTGCCCTGGATTATCACAATCATTGGTCCACAAGACTTTCCTTCAAGAGGTCATGTTTTGGATGGTGAAGTACGAGTTTCCTCAGAAGATTAATACATTCCTTCTCAGCCTACTTACAAATGCCAGGTACAAGGTATGTATAGAGTGCTTAGTGGATGCAGGGATGGATGGTTGGTAGGATGAATGAATATTATTCTCAGCCTGCTACAAATGCAAAGTAAACTTTTAGATTTATCTAAATATTATTATAAGAAAACTTAGAATGAATGGATGTTTGAATGGATGATGATTGGATGGGTGGATTGAAGATAGGTAGGATACACAATTCATGCTATTCAGAAAATTACGAAAATTGGGAGCCATCTTTATCACTATAGGTGATTGTAGAAGTGGTTTAGCGCAGTGGGAATGGTTTGGTTTCCCAACCTCGAGGTCGGGGTTTCAATCACTGTGCATTTCACTTGTGTTCTTGGGCAAGGTATCTGCATTGCTTATCTCCACCCAAGAGTATAAATGGCTACCTAGTAGGGTTGAATGCCAAAATACACTGATGTAGCTGCTGCAACTTTATGGAATACTCCCACAGGGAGCATAAGTTTGTGTTCCATAGGTGTTTAATCCAATGACTGGGGGAAGAATTAAGTGATAGTTTGTTTACGCAGTACATCATAATTTAGTTACTTTACATTGGAATACTAAATTTAATTAAATGACATTGTTAAACCTACTACTTCATTTTTCATTCTAGGAACTGTTTACGGATGCATTTGTTATGCATTATTCACGTATTTGCATGGCCTTGGCTCGTTCTCCGGAAGTGATCCCAGACAGAGTGGTCCACATCAGTGTTCAGATACTGAGTAATGAGGTGTTGGCTAGCCACGTGGTTACAGATCTTCAGTTCTTTCACGTAATGATTCTCTCAATTCAAGAGATGATACGCGGTTCTCTGACAGACAGCAAAATTAAAGGTATATTTCATTTTTTTTAAAAAACATGATAATATGGTATGAAAAACACCTTCATCATATAGAGGTGTGTCACCTTCATCACTCCGCAAAATGTCAAAGTTAAAGAATAACAAGGGTGATGAAAACTATTTTGCCTTAAATTATTATAAATTAATAAAGTATATGATAACGAAATAATACCTCATTGTTTTTTATCATTTATTTCTGCATTTTGTTAAAAAGCAATTTTTAATAGCTTATTTCGGCTTCGAAGCTCTGCCTACCGAAGTTAACCTATAGTTGACATTTAACGGATGTGACGCACAGTCGGTCCTCTGTTGTTTTGACAGACTCGATGTATTGTATAGCCTAGCATATTGACATAAACGACCAAAAAGTATATGATAACGAAATAATACCTCATTGTTTTTTATCATTTATTTCTGCATTTTGTTAAAAAACAATTTTTAATAGCTTATTTCGGCTTCGAAGCTCTGCCTACCGAAGTTAACCTATAGTTGACATTTAACGGATGTGACGCACAGTCGGTCCTCTGTTGTTTTGACAGACTCGATGTATTGTATAGCCTAGCATATTGACATAAACGACCATAGAAAGGGTTTTTTGTTACCAAACAATGCCTTGTTGTGTGGCTGCAGCAGCAACCATTCGAACGATTTTACCAAGCGTCAGTTCCCAAAAGACGAAATTTTAAGAAAAAATGTACCAAAGCCGTATCAAAAACCTGAGTACAATTCCAGGGCTCCATACATTCAGTGTTGTGCAGCGAGCATTTTCCGGTCAATGACTTCAATGAGTCAAGAAGTGTACTGTCTTCCTAACACTTTAAAAAACCTTTTCGACCAGGGCATTTGATTGGCAACCATAACAGTAAACGAAGATCTACAGCCTACAAAAAGAGAGAGAGAGAGGTGCATGGTAGGTTTGGTTTGTTTTCCTTTCACAAATTGTGCAAATACCAGGCGGGGCTGACCTTCGCATACGACCTAGCTACACCATGTTTTTCGGAAGAAGCTTGGTCTCCCTCCCTCGAATTTTTGATTGTGTAAATAACACTTAATGACTTTACCCTCTAACATAATGTTGTAATGTAAAATGATTACTTTGTATTTGTCGTGTTTTTAAAAATTTACAATAGCATAGCCTAGGCAAGCATAGAGAGTAGTAGTACTAGTACTGAGTCTAGTACCAGGTAGTAGGCCTACACTGTAGCCTACAGTAGGAATGTACATACACATGACTAGCTTGAGGAGGTGTACTTACTACCTACTACTACAGTACTAGGCTAGTACTATTTAAAACTTGCGCCTAGCCTAATAGTACTGGTTTGTCTACCAACACCATTTGCATGATAATCTGGTTTAGCCTGTGTCAGTTTTGATATTATATTATATGGTTTTATTAAACATATCACTTTATCACAAACTTATGTAAAAACAAGGGTGACAAGAACAATCATCCCTGATTGAACATGTTTCATCGTGAATAAAGTTTGAATGACCTACAATTAAAATAATTTTATAAATACTTAAAAATGATAAATAAAAATCTTTCTATGGTTTCCACAGGACTTTGTTAGCCGTAATGCATTACAATGAGAACTGTGGAAGACAGCAAACTACAACTAAGAATGGAGGAGAAAGCCAATTTGCAATTAATTAATTATTACCCAAATCTATGGTAAGTAATTTCTTTGCAACAAAATACACATACTGTATTGTACTTTACTCTAAAATGAAATAACAAACTAATGTGCTAAATTTGAACATGCCTCTTTATTTAAAACAATAAAACATTTAATATTTTGCAGACTTTGTGGACACTTTTGGATCTAGTGAGAAGTTGCTGTAGTACTGATGTGTGCAGCCATACACAGATGCCGCACCATATCTTTGTAGCAGCTACGAACGGCAGGATAAAACAGAAGATATTGTTGCTCACCCCACATGCTTTGCTGAATAACTGCCTAACTTATGATAAACTTGGATACTTGAACCCTGTGTATTTATTAACTAGACTTAAATTTTCTTCTTATTTGAACAACAGCACATGAAGGGATAAACACATGGTCACTCCTGCCAATATATCCGTGTGTTTACTTTCAAAGTTTTTGTAGGTAGTGTGTCCTAATTTCCTGAAGAAAATTGCATATAGTTAAGCAAAGAAAATGAATAGGGGTAGATAAAAAATGTATAGATCTGTTTTTTTTTGTTTTTTTTTTAGTTGGGGGGTGGTGGGGAGGTGGGGTTGCCGGCTGCGAGCCTTAGGACCTGTACCCCTGGATGCATAGTTAAAATGTAAAATACTGTAAAGTTTGTTTTTGTATGTACGGTATTCGTAAATAAGTGCATTTTATTAGACTAATATTGACTACAAAAGAGGCTGTACTATGGAATCTTTTTCTATAATAAACTCAAATGCTCGTTTAAAAATGACTTTTTTATACTGTTTATTTTTACTAACTTGTACATATACTATACAGTGCACATTAACATATACAGTATATTGGTTATAGAGCCTAGCTTACTTGTGTTCAGATTTTTTTGTGGCAAAAGTATTTTTTGGCTGTGTGTCTCCCTGCGATCTGTAGTGCCAATCAGTATCATCTAAAAACTAGCATGAAATCCTGAATGAGATGTAGTTCACCTGTGATTTCAGCATCTCTATCTCTGGTTCCAACAACATCGGGGACCTCATGGCAACACAGACATCCATTTGCAGTCTTTATTTTCTTGCATTGCCTACAATTGCACCTAAAATGTTAAAATTTAAATTGGATATTAAGAGTACAGTAAAATAGTATACACTATTCAGAGTACTGCTTTACAATAAACAAAACATAACACAAAATCATCATTTGTCTTGGTGAGATCGATGATGATTTTTCAATTCCTAGCCAGGCCAAATTTAGAGTACAGTAGCAACGACCTGCCGCCGCGATCGACGCTTCTTTCTGCGGCGGTCTCCTACTTTGTACAGAGTATTATAAAACACGTAGGGGAGCCAGGCCCATTTTAAAAACAAAACGTAAATTTTAGCAGACAAAAAAAAGACTAGATTTAAACTCGTCACTGAGGACGAGTTAGGTGATCTGACGCACTATCACCCTCGAGGAAGTGTGCGCGGTGCGGATTGAACAATTTTTAAATGCTGAAAATGGCCTAAAATATATGCAAATTTGGAGCATTTTAAAAGATTTACTCATGCATAAGCGCACGTTATGACACACATGCGCATGGTAATGTCACAAAATGTTGACTCCTGATATGAGATAGACCGGTATGTATCAACTCTCATTGACAAACGCCTGTTGGCGAGGGACTTACTATAATTCATAATATTTATCATATATAAAAATTTAGTTGTTTTTAATTCAGATGGCAATATGATGGCATCACAATGCCCGATGAGACCTAATGGTCTATAAAATCATATCTACAACTCGTGTTTTCAGAATATGTAATAAAAATTGGATGTCACCTTTAATCCTAAGGAGCTATAACTGATTAAAAATATTCATGATTTTAAGCATATATCTGAGGTCTCTGGTGGGAATTGGACGGGCAATCTCGCTATCTCGGCGAGCATCATACCGTTTAGACCACCGCCGCCTCGTCGGACATGCCTGACACTCCCATCCCTCTCGTCGTCCGGACCAAAAATATTTTAATTTTGACGCACGCACAAAAAATTAAGGTACATACCATTCAACCTTTGCCTGAAGTTTATGTCCACTAAATATGATTCAGAAATGACGACTGGTTCGGATAATATTGGGTCATCAAATATTTGAGAAAAGAAAGATGATTGGGTCAGAAAAAACATTTATTTTGACCATAATGACGTCGTCAAAATGTAAAAAGAAGTCACATATATGAAAGAGAATTAAATCAGCCATAACATACTCAAAGTTGGGAGAAGATCGATCAACGATAAGCGAGATATGCTCAAATGCGTATTTTCAAAAATGACGTCATAGATAAAATTCATTTTTTTTTTTGCAAATATGATGACGTCACAATGTCCAATCAGCCATTATGATCTATAAAATTATATTTACAACTCATGTGCTTTCAGAATATGTAATAAAAATTGGGGGTCACCATTCATCCTAAGGAGCTCTAACTGAATAAAAATAGGCCTGATTTTAGCATATTTTCACTGTCTACAGCACAAACACGCACAAAGATCCCTATGCTTGATGCGTGCGTACGGCATTGCTATTGGCCATAAGATGACCAAAAAGAATGGAAATTTGTGAAAATGTCAGATACCCAAAATATGTAAAAAACGTATTTTCTAGCTTCTGTACGTGCTGCGCACGTAAAAATGCACGCACATAGTGGAAAATGTAAAAAAATTTTGAAATGCTCAAAATGACCTGAAACATGCTCTAATTTAGTCAAAAAGTGATTTTGAACATTTTAAAATTTTGACGCATGCTTGCGCGCGTGTTATGATGTGCACGCAAAATATTTCAGTACATGATATTCAACCTTGACCTCTAAAGTTTATGCCTACTGAATATGATTGAGAAATGACAATTGGTTAGGATGATATGATTGTTAATGTAAACACGCAAAATTGCACGTAAATGAAGTCACGCATGACTGAGCACATTGAAGACCTTATTGTGACTATTCCAGGCCAAGCCTAATGTTCGTTGAAGCGCGCATGTGAGTAGCGCACTGCAAATTTGAGATATCGTGCGTACAAATGTGGGGAGAAAGAAAGAAGAATAAAAAGAAGATGATTTCTGACAATAACAAGAGGTGATTCGCTTGTGAAGCGGATCATCAAAAATACAGTATAAAATTTTCAGAATCTTCTTTCGAACTATCTGGCGTATTATCTAGGTAGGCCTAGGCTATCTACAGTACTAAACACAATCAACTGTGGTTGGTTGCATATTAATAATTATTATCAGTGCTCTGTGTTTACGTTCATAATTCGGCCTATCTTGGTGAACTTAAAATTAAGAAGCATTACTAAAACTAAAATATAAATTCTATTAAAAAACAATTAATGTAATTGTAAAGCAATTTTATATATGACATCCCTACTTTATTATTTTCACAACTGGTTTCAAGTCGGTACTACTACTCTAGTCTAGGCCTAGCCTTGTCCAATGCTAAGATTGCCGACGCGTTAGCAGCCGCTAGCTATGCCTACACACAAACGCAAAACGAAACTGTTAATGAGCATTAAAATTTACCAATTCGTATTGTCAACTCTGTTTTGTTCGTCCATTTCTTCTTCGTCAATAACACTCCTCCTCTGCTGTGGTTCGAACTATGGCTCAAATTCAGCTTCAATTTTTCCACTGATGATTACATATCTCCATATATACCGCGATGATAAAAAGATTACAGAGCGTACAACAAAACCTTGAAACTTGTTCTACTGAGATGAAGTCACGGCCATACTTAGGCTTCAATGAGCATCGCAAGTGGGCGGGGCTTAGATTAAATTATTAAAAATCACTTTAAAAATATTTTTGTTTTTAAAAATATTAATAACTTGAACCAGGTATTTTTCCTGATCGGGAATTCAAATGACTATATTTTTGTTATTCTTTAACAACTGACCAATCAGAACATAGCTGCCTGTCAGTGGCTGAGCACCCTCGTCCAGATGCTCTACAGGTTTTGTTGAGTATTGAAGTAGAAGTAGAACAGTGCCAGGAATATGTGCACACATGTTGTCCCATAAACATGTGTGTGTGTGGGACAACATGGTTTTTCCTTTTTTGGGACCCTAGCAACATTATCCAAGGGGTGGGGCTTAGTGGAAAGGTCCGTTATTTTCCATTGGATTTTTACACCAAGACTCCAATTACCATTTGGTTACTGTATCAACTTGAGTTAAAACCAAATAGTTTGTACTTATATTAATCATTAATCTCTACTAGCCTTATAGACCACACTGAAAGACTGATTTTATTTGATAACACTTAAATTACAGTGTACAACAATATTAAACTTCTTGTAGAGTCCATACGTGGTTGAATCAGTTAAGTATTGTTTGAAGATTTGCTTGGCGAAGTAATAACATATATGTTTAAGCTTGCGGTACACCACGTATGTAATTCTGAAAAGAACTGTTGTAGTTGAGAAAGTCTCTTTCTCTTGTAGTTGACTTTCTCAACTACAACATAATCTGTTAAAACACCGAACCGCGACGGGAATGCTTCTACCATGACCCCATTAAACTAATGCAAAGTAAATAAGAATATAAAAAAGAAAATGAATTTTGTTCCTCTCTTCTCCACATCATTATGTTATTCTGTTTTTCTTATAGATGAAAGAGGTACAAACATTAACTTTCACCAAGTTGTGTCTTGTTCCAATCCAGTTATCAGAAACCATTGTTATTGGCCAATTATAAGTGACATTACTAATTTGATGTCACATAAAAGCTGTGTGGAAGTGTTTTTTAGAAGCCCTGACCTTATTAGAATGTGGACATCGTTATTGCTCACCCTCACAGGTATTTTTTGAGTCATTTTGAGCAGTCCTCGTATAAACTGAACCTACCTATCAACCTACACAATAGTTTGTTGCAAAGATTATATATAATGAACATGCACTTTGAAAACTTGCACTGTAGATTTGTATCATGATTTTGTAAGCACCTGTTGAAGGCTTTTCTTTTTATAGAGTACCAAACTTTGCATGTGTTGGCCATTCAAGTGCATACATTAATACGCATGATACGCACATGTTTGTACATTTGTTCCAAGTATGCTCACTGCCCGATCTCCATGTATGGTCATTTTAGAGTTTTTCATTTTTTTGCAGGGGGTGAATTATGTATCGTAATTGTGTTCCCATAATTCTTTTTGAAGATGGCACAGATTTGCACAAAGTGTGTGGTCTTGTTTTATATATGGTTTTTGTTTCATTGAAAATTTCATGTCAAATTATATTGTTCACATTCTAGGTATGAACCTTAATGAAAGAGAACGTGATGAGCATCTGGAGTTTGAGCCACACTACAATGCAGCGTTCATTGCTGAGGTTGAGGCTTGTGCTGCCCCCATGTGGCAGCTTGTTAGTCATTGTCAAACAGAGGAGGGTGTAGAATTCTCTAAGGTTATGATTGCTGTTTGTATGGAAGAAATACAGGATCTATTTGATGCCCTCAACTTAAACAGTGCCCTTTCTTCTATGCAATTTTCTTTCCATCTTCCCCTCTTAAGGCACTTGGCTATTTTTACTAGCTGTGTAAGTTGAAATATATATTTTTGTGTTGATTATTTAGTACCATTAGAAGTTATGATACTAGTATAGGACTAGTGTTTTGTATATAACCAATTGTGATGATAGTATGAAGTATTATTGGAATATAATCATTATTATCATTGTCATTATTATATTTATTAAAATATAAATAAATATATATACAGTATATATATAAAGTTACATATTATTTTATATTTAAATATATTTTAAATTACTCTATCATTGTTATTGTCAATAACGATATTATTGTCATAAATTTTCATCATTTTTATCATTATCTACTTTTCACTATTATTTATACAAAACTAATGTATATACTTGATATAAATAGGCTGTGAATAAACAATTACATCAACTGGATCCACTTCTTCCTAAAACCAATGGGTATGCTTTGCAGCTTATGATTTTTCCTCTGCAAATACAGGTTAGTTCAATAATTGGTTGACACTGACAAATTCCTCCTCTTAATTAACTATTTATAATTATTATAGTATATCCAAATATAATAATTAAATATATCATATATATTTTATATTTTCTGCCTGTTATAGGAGTGATGGTTGATTTGATTTGATTTATTGCAATACCATACATGAAACATACAAAACAATTTGAGAACTACATGAATATTAAAATGAGTAAAATCATGTGGTATCAGCGATTTAATTCTGTTGGACAACTATCGTCAGCCGTGGTATGTGTCTGGCTGAATAAGGTCATAATTTACAGTGACTTTTTCAAAAAATATTAATTGTTGTCTGTTCTCACACATTCTGTTGTCTGCTCCAGGTGTGTTTGTACGAGATATTTGCTGGTATGTGGGTAAGGAATGGTCTTCAAATCAGGGCCCAAGCCATGACTTACAACCAGTGCCATTTTTGCTCTTCAATGTTGGATCTAGATATCTTTATGCTGCAGGTATGTCTTCGGCTGCATCTTAAATGATTATGAATTATAAATTAAAAACCATGCATGTGGCCCGCCAACCAACTATGGCTAGAAATCCCCTTGTATTTTACGGCCCGACACAAATCATCTGTTAAAAGTAATAGTAGAACTGAATATGAAGTGGTTAAAAGCAGTCTGTGAATGTTTTTGGAAAATCAAAGTTTGGGTGCAGCCTCCAATGTTAAATCAAAAATTCACTTTGGCCATCCAAACAATTTTTATGCCCACCCCTGTATTAATTGATCTATTCATTTTTTTTTTCAGTTATGTGCTTGTAAATTATCATCAGATTTGGTAGTTTCCTCTATTTTAGAAAGGTAGGATAACATTTTTTGAATTTTTAAATGTATTCAACATTTAATTTTTTAAAGAAATATGTAATGTTCTAATTTGGATTTGAACACACTCTTTTTATAACCATTTTATTTCTCAATCTAATCTATAAATCGACATCTCAACAAATTTGTTGCAGCTGTTTCTTCTAGTGTCCATGTTTCCACACTTAATAAAAATGTGGTATACGTAGCATTGTTTTTAGCTTGTATATTTTTGTTTTTGTAAGCATGCTTTGATTCCAGTTCTCAAAGGCTTCAAATTTTGTTTTTCTCAACTAATGCCCTACATACATTATATTAGAAACCTAGGTGGTTACAATTGACAATAATACAAGATATATTTATTGTTCATGGAATATTGTTTACACTAGTGTTTAAAAATAATAATTAGTCATGTTAAATTAATCATGTTTTATCATAGGTATCATGTGTTGGACTTCTTATCACTGAATCCCAAACACAGTAATTCATTCCTGGACAAGGATGGGCAGGAGATGGTGATGCTAGAGGGTGCACTTTACTTAATACTTTCACTGATCAGCACAAGAATACATTTAGGTGAGTACATGAGGGGTGTGCTGTGAAAGGGGGAACTGAAATGGTAATAGGCTTGTGGGGAGAGATATGTGTAGGGAGGGATTTGGGATTGGTGAGGACTTTTGTGGGTGGACAGAGGTATATGGAAATTAGAGATGCTGGAAAGGTTGTGTATGTATTATATACCTCTGTGTTATTTTTAATTACAGTATTTACAAACTTGGTTTTTTGTCTAGGCATTTCAAACTATGATTTACTAAGAGGAGAGATTGTGTCAATGCTCTGTATGAGAGATAAGACCCACAGTCAACTTCTTGATCAGATATCCTTTATATAATCATGGAGGAATAAAATAGCTCCTCTATGATATAGTAGCCTTTAAAACTTTAATAGAGCTCGTCGAACACTGTGAAGACAACAATTAGCTGACCGCTGACTACAAATCAGTATGCGCTCTGTGTAATTGTTAGTCTGATGTGACGCAGTCAACTGATTGTTGGTGGCAGTTTTAAAGGATTATTATTGAAAAATTTGTTTGTCATATGCACCTTGTCAGGGTGTATCAATTACCGTGGCTGACTGTAAGGTGCCTGCTAGCTGAATCTAAGTTGATCGTTGCTGGATGTGCTGGACTTGATATATTTTTAATGGTTCAAAAGTTTACTGTTTAGCAATATAAAAGTTGATATATAAAAGTAAGGCTTTATCTTAATAGATGTCAATGTTTAATGTTACTTTATAATATTATTATTTGGTTTGAAGTGGTTCCAAATATTGTTATATTAAAAAAAAGTTTACTTTTTATTTTATAATTGTGTTATTACATGTTTTTTGGTGGTATATTAACACAAATCTGTGACAAAAATAGTGATGTTTAACCTTAATATTTGTTTACATTCCTGAGAGGGCTGAAGTGATGAATATTTCTGAGATGTTTGAAGACATCCTAAATGAGGTAACATCTTCTCCATATGTATTCCATTCCCTGTTTCATCATACCATAAAACATCAATACAGAATTTTCATTCAAATTTTGATAAATGCCATTCCATTCATTAAAGTAGATTACAATACAATTCAATATATTATATATCATCTTATTAGTATCCCCAAAGGAGCGAAGTTCTGGGGAGGCTATTGTTTTTACCCATGTTCTTCTTCATGCTGTCGGCGTTGCCGTCGTCGTTGGGTGAATTGTTACCACGGTAACTAAAGTTTGGTAAGGCCAATTGGTTTCAAACTTGGCAGAATGCAAGATGGTAATAGGAAGGCGGAGCCTATTGTTTTTGGTAGGTGTGTGAATGTGGTAATTGCTCATTTGCATAATTATGTGTCAGTAATCAGGAAATGTACAATAAATACCATCATAATTCCCATAAAAGATTTCCTACTTACAGTAGTTGAAAATGTAATATGTCATATGCCTTTAAATTGCATAAAACAGTTATTCAATTTGCAGTTGAAATTAAACTTTCTTTAATATTTCTTTTAATTAATGAACTTGATTAAATATCGGATTTAACGCAAATTGCGTTGTCATGATAACGGCTGAAGCAAGTTGCAGTGCTGCGCACTACTAGGCACCTGGATTTGCAATGGAACCTAAATTTTTGTGACACTGGTCGTCACCAGAGACATTGCCTATTATACAGTTTTTTAGGAAATAGTCAGTGCTTCGGGAGCATAAATAATACATGCTTTAATAATAAGATTTAAATTGAATGATTTCCTACTGCAACATGTGGCTGTAGATGTTATGTTCAATGATACAGTACACCCGCATTGCATGCAATCAGTTGAGGATGGACGTGCTGACTCGTCTTGTGGTGGGGTGGGCCCGATCGCCTGTCACCTCCTGGCCTAGGCATAGGCCTACACAACAGACTAACCTACTGTTCAACTTTAAGTTTCTTACAGAAGAGACGATCAAGCCAAGCCCGAAGACAATCAGACTTTAGAATTGAGATTAGGGGCCTAGACTAGACTATTGCTAGCTAGCTAGCTAGGACTAGGTCCAAACCTGAATTTTCGGCAAAATCTGGGCAAAGTCAGCCCTTGTTTATTGAAATTTGTGGACGGATTTCAAGGCCTAACGTTTGCGCGAAGAATATTTATATTTCCTATGCAGGCCTTACCTTACACTCTTGGACCTGTCTCTTATACACATCTAGATGTGTATAAGAGACAGCCAACCAACTGGAATAACATCCCATTAGGCCTACACATAAAAAATGCAACTTCCATCATTATTACATTTAAATCTCTTCTTAGAAGTCATTTTTTATCTGGCTAATGTTATGGTTGATAAAATGGCCCCCAAACTGCTAAATACCGGGATGGTGTCCGGTGGGGGATAGTTTAACCAATTGTAGTTAAGAGTAAAATACAGCCCACCCCATCTCTCCCATCCCCCTCTTCTCACCCTCTCCAACCCCCCTCTCCCACTCCTCTCCGGTTAAATAAATGAAATCAAATTTATTGCAGGTGGCTGATTTTAAAGACCCAACACATGTTTCTGATGGTAATTTTAGACAGGGTCAGTATGTACTGAAACCAGAGCTATGGACTTCAGATTTTGATCCAATTATGGTACAAATGCGTTCAATGCAAAGAAAGGATTACCAAGCATCGCTGGACAACTACACAGCTGCGTAAGTGAAAATTAAGACAACTTTGTTAAAAAATGGTATTTTTATGAATAATAACCCTTTGAGCATATACGCCCGCTGCTGAAGCTTAAATGGTTATATCCCATTAGCCCGAAATATCGGGCTCAGGGTGTTTCCATGTTTTTAATGTCAAATTGTAGAGCAGACGTCAACTATGAAACTGACAATCAGAGATTTTTCAAAAAAGGGAAATTTGTGCCATTTAAAATAATAGAACAGAATATATAAATTTATACACATCTAGATGTGTATAAGAGACAGTATATATATATATATATATATATATATATCAGTAGGTAAACGCAGACAAAATAAACTGCTACGATACTTTGACTTGTAGGAGACATAGAAATATTTTATTTTGCGAAATTTTCGGCAACTCCTGTTACCTTCGTCAGCGCATGAGTATCAATGAGAAACTTAACAGAATATACAATGGGTGATTAATGACCAGATCTATAAACAATAGGTTACACAGTCTTATCACTAGCAATAGTGATTATACTCACATTCCCCAAAAACATTGCTAATTACGGAGGGAATTTGCAGAGAATGAAATTTTAATTTGTTAGATTTATTTTTAGATTTTACTCTAAAACAAAACCACAAGGGTTTCTTATTCATTTTAATAAATTTGTTCAATTAAAAATTTATCGGTTTACACTAAGCTTGTTCCTAAGATGTCACGCACTATGAAACCACAGCCAAGCACATGGGATTTTTGCCCAGCAACATGACCCCACGAAAAAAATTAACCAATTAGCGGGCAGAGTTTAGGATGCGACCTGATATTTACAACATGTCGCATCGTGACCACAAAGAATGTGTTGTGTTTACAGTTTAGAAAAAAATATCAGACCGAAAATGCACGTAAAAACAATATAAAAGCATTCATTTTATTGGTACAGTAATACAATTTGCTGTACACTACAGCTAAACAACAGGTACTGTATGTATTATATGTTAAATGTTAACTTTTTTCATAGGCTAGTCATACCGAATTCACTGGGCTTTGCTGCTAAGCTTATTTTTAGCATCTAGGCCTAGGCTAGGCCCTAACTGGCCTGCCTTATTCGGAAAGGATTCAATAGAAATGTTCCACAAACCGATCTTTCCGGAAAACCGAACATCGTAGCGAATATCGTATTGTGAGAGTGCACTGTACATACAAATAGATACCTGTATTTATATTTCGCGGCATAATTTCCCATACAGAGACAACAGAAAGATTTTTCTGTATCTGTCAGTGTTACTTCATCGGTGAGGGGTAGCATGATTAGCATGTCAAAAATATGGTACTTGGGCCTTCTAAAGTTGGCAAGATAGTGGCTAGTGAAAGGGATTGAGGACCAGTAAAAATATTAATTTACTGGTCCACTTGGCTAGTTAAAAAAACCTTAAGGGAAACCCCTGCATACCCTGTAATGGTTAAATTTACTATTCTGCAAACCACGTAGCAAATTTAGCGCTGGAATGGAAGCACTGCTTCCAAGAGTACAGTAGGTGTGCATTTGAAGAATATAAAAATTTGCTACAGGTAGACCAGGCCCAATTAGGCCCAGGCCAAGCTGATTAGTCCAAGCTGTCCAAGCCGTCACGGTAAAAGTAAATAATTGTAGGCCATCAAAAAGACGGCCTGATGGCTCGCTGGCTAAGCTTGTGATTGAGATACACCAGACTGTTCATTCTGGCAAAACAAATAATATTAAACATTACAAATACAAAAACATATAAGAATAATTAGGTGAGCCAGGGATCAGCAAAAGCGGAACCACTGTCATTTTAAAAGTCTGTTTACTTAAAAGAATGAAGCAAACTGGTAGACACACTGGTGGAGATGTGCTTTGGCCACCATACCAACCACTGAAAGAGATCAACCCAGAATTCAACGCTGTCAGGCAACTGCTGCATTCCAGGACATTGCATGCAGCTTTATTTCTTATTCTGTATAAGGTAGATTTGTTTATTTTTGTTATTTTAAAGTCTAATTCAGCGATTAACAGTACATAAGCCTTCTTTTACTGTACCAAAAGTATTTATTAAGTGATACCATTTTCTGTGGTCAATTACACTTGTATTTTTACCCAGATGTGGTGAAACAGTACTACCCTGAATTGACTACAGATTCAGAGAGTAGCAGTTTTTTACCAAACTGTCAGTAAGAGTTGGAGAAGCAATGTAAGTCCAGTGCCCTCAATCAGTCTTAGGATAAATCGTATTGGCCTTGTTTTTTGCAGGCAGTAAGTGGAACTGAAATAAGTGAGCCGGTGTTGTATCAAACTGTTGCACTTATATCTCTGGCTTTGCAGTGTGAACCCAATTCAGATACTCATGTAAGTTGGATATATGTTGATTTTTTAGTCTGGTATTTCTCATTATTAATATGGATATGGAAATGGCCTATGCCGCATATTCCCTGGCTAGGAATACTCCGACAGGAAGTGGGGATTCCCCAGGATCCCAAAGCAGTTGTACATTATGTAAACTTAAATACATTGACTGCAAAGCCTTTTTTCTTTTCATTCATTATGCTAAGGCATAAAGGATGCCGCCATAATGAAAATCATTCAACTGTAATGAAACATGAACAAACGTACAGTATTTATTTCTAGATCATTACTTTCGGGTTCTTCCCTGAACCTCCAGGAGGAGAGTTCATATTCTGACGACCACCGCCAGCGTGTTTGCTTACAATACAGTTGGTGGTATGTTTCAACAGGTATGGACGTGAACTCGCATCCCTGGTGCCCTGAATGAACCCTGGTGGATGTTAAAGTCCCTGACAGCAAACATGTTGGACAGGATGGAAAAGTGCACTATTTAGGTTAAAACTAGATTCTATATCAACAAATTAATACATTTTTATTTTTTTATGGTCATGTTGCCTAATACTTGAATAAACTCACTTTTGCCATTAAGTTTTTAACTGAAAATGATACAGTTGTCCTTCCCAGTGCTTCATATAGCCATGCTAATTACAAATTTTGCCTTTGTTCTTTTTTAGCATTACTACTTATTGTATTTTAATAGGGAGCCTCGCGAAATAAAGCAACGTGTGCACAAGTGGGCCACGCGAGGCGATTTAAGGCAGTTTAATCGCATAGTTGGCTACGCGTCGGGATTATTTTCTTGGGCTACTCCATTTCATTGTGGGGAATTAATAACAGGCTTTGTGTAAAAACCCAATTAACACAAACAAAAATGTCTCGTATAAAAATAAACGCTATTGGAAGGAACGCAAGCTCACGTTATATTTCTGAGAAGTTATATATTAATAATTAATCAAGATTATCGTCAGCGTTACGATCAAAACCAACAGACATCATAAATATAAAACAAGGATAGTCCATAGTGATATTATTATTATTATACCTCCAGCCTAGGTTTTGGCTTACTCCGAAAAATTACGAAGTAGAGTAAAATTAAAAATCGAAAACAATAGGCCGTTTTCATGAATTTTTGTTAGGCCTAATTATATTGTTTTAGAGTTGGTCTTTAAAGTGCTGAGAGTTTATCATTTCTTATATTGTGTTAGTATTAATTAAGATTATTAATAAAACTGTCTAAGACAGACAGACATTGGCCTACATTACATTCGATTCACAAACATATATAGGGTACACTTCCTTCATTTTTAGCGAAATACAAAAAAAAATATTGAACTTCATACTTATTTACCTTTTAATCTGATATAAATGTGGGCAGTTGTCGTCTATGTTATATATTTCAATATTGATTAATCTGGAACTTTGGAGGAACAGTATATTTATTGTATGTGATGAGAGAATTTTCAAAAAAGGTAAAAACAATTTTCTCTAGCTAGCTGTTACATGCACTCTATTTCAATGTTGATAAATCTCGGAAGTTTTATGGAAAAGTAATGTATTTATTATATATTATGATCAGGCTCTTTAAAGAAGGTGCTATATTGTATACTGTAAAATAATGTTTTCTCTAGCTTTCTGTTCAATGTTTTAATTAAATTTATGATATATAATTATTAAATCGTTTTTTATTGCTAGAAAGTACCAAATCACTATGTTATTTTACTAAAGGGATTTCAATTTCATTTATAAAATGGACTGGTAATGTATAAAAGTAGTTGACAATTGTTGATATACCACAGCGTATCAAGTGGACTTGGAACGTCTTCCTTGATACAGTACAGCATGGCCTCCTAAAAGTATAGGGTCTGTGGTTTTGACATAGAGCAATTGCTCTATGTTCTATCAAAGTAAAATTTAGACATTTGACTCTGGTCCTGTACTCGATAGGCTATGGGATATTAACTGAATTTCGATCTCTAACATATTATCATTATTTTATTCTTCAAATTGCTCTTTCTGTCCATTGATTTATTGTTTATTCTATAATAGTTGGGAATAATCTTGCAACTAGAAATTGCAAATTGCAAGTGAAGTGCTGCGAAGTACAACTGCATATAAATGTTGTTCAAACAAAATTATTTATGTGAGTCAAGTGAAAATAATGAATAATAAAAATATAACAAATAATATGAGACACGACCCATTGTTTATATCAGAACACTTCTCATTGGGTAACAAAGTCGTAATTTTTCATTTTTGTCAAAAAGTGTCTATAGTGGTGAATTATGGTTTAGGTTTTTTTTAATAAAGTTTCAAAAATTTCTATGTATGTGGAAAATGTAGTTGATTACCAAAGGTTGCAATTTTTATTTTGAAGACTGCATGGTCTAGGAAGTGTACATTTTTTTATGGGGCAAGTTTCCAAGGGCTGGTTTTCTAGGGGCGAGTTGACTGCCAAAGAGTGTTGCCAAAGTGCGAGCCAGCGTGTTATTTGATCACAAGTGCGAGACATCGCAGGTGTGAGCCAGCGTCCCTTCAAGGCTAGGCCTATACCATCCTAGCTAGTCTAGGCCTAGTGCTAGCGTTGGTACGAGTAGGTTAGTCTACAAACGTCGCCTAAAGTAATAGATTTTACCCGGCAGGACGAAAGAAGGAAACTCCGCTTTTCAGTCGTCTTAGGCACTTGTTTTTTGACAAACAATGACCTTTCAGAGGTCAAATTGCTGTCAAGAATTGGCTGCTTCGCAGCAATGATTGAAACTTATGACAAAACATAAAAAAGCAATTCTATAACGTCTGAAAATGAATCCCAATTCACGAAATGGAATCGTCCAAAATCTTTAATCAGTATCTTGAACCACTCGGCGGCAACACGAAGGGATTTTAATCCCCAACCACTTGTTGTAGATGGGTATACGCGTTGCTTTATTTATACCTGTTGCTTTATTTTGCGAGGCTCCCTAATTGAATGTTGTTTTATGTGTACATGATTCAGATGGAAGTTGCCGAGTGCTGCAATGACATGGAGCTTTCTGATTGGTTCCCGTACAACAACATGTTGAAGAATTTACCATACGTCATCAGAACAGTTAAATTGCAAGAGAAGATGGAAAAAAAATCAAATAACCCATTTGTAAGTGATTTCTGAGACTTTGAGATAAGGATCATGCCTTCAGATCCCTATGTCATGGATTCAGCCATTGAAAAAATGCTAGTAGTTCATATGTTCACAACCAAAACTTTGCTCCCCAAGACTCATAAATATATTACCTAATCATATCAAAAGTAATCTCAGTGGCGGGTCCAGGGATTCTTAGAAAAGGGAACCCGGTGAGGGAATTACACAGATGGATGGTCCAGTGTACTTTAGCCTCAACCATGGTTTGGATTGAAGTACAGAATTTTATGTCTATGGCAGAGGTAATTTTTCTTCTTTTGACTTATATTCTGTACTAGGAGTACACTTCATATTTCTACAGGTTTTTTTTTTACTTTATTTCAGAGGACATTATTGCAGGATATCCATCCGGCAAATCCAGAAGAATTTCATGAGGATGAAGTAGACATTTTGGATAATGATAACATTGCTCCAGAGAATAATGACTTTAATGTGGAGATGGAGGAACATGATGATATAGATGATGATGATGACGAGGATGAAGAGGAGGAATTCTTTGATGCCATTCAAACTGCTATGGATCTCATTCAAATGACTGGTGTGATAGAAATTCCTCCATTTGCCATGATGACCTCTGAGGAGAAGAAGCCCCCAGTGCCTACTGATCCTCCTTCTGAAAACATGGAGAATATCCCCATTGAATTGAATGAAAGTATTTTAACTTTACTTCTGAAATTGTACTTAAAATTATCGAACGAAAAAGTTTATCTTCCATCATCTGTAAGTCAAGAAGTGAGGGCTGGTCATACAATACCAGTTCCAATGTTCGGCTCTGGGCCTTACTACATAGCCAAAGTTTTGGACAGAATAGCAGAACTAAGCAGAGACTGTACTGACATTATAATGAACGTTTACGAGGAACACCATCCAAAGAAAAGACAAGAAGAGACTGATATAGACGCTGTCAGTGAAAGGTAATTTTAGATTTATGTATTGCTTTATACCGAAGTCTCAAAGTGCTCAGTGCCTTCTACAGGCCCGTACGCAGGGGAGGTAACGCACCCCCCTCCCCAAATTGCCAAAGGTCCACATTTTCCATGGTAGAAAATTCTAGACACACTCTCCAAGAAATCCAAAACTTCTTGACCAATCAGAACAGTTTCCAGCTAGGACTGCCTCTAATTTGTCGTACAAGCAAGGAGTTTTAACTGTATTTATAAGCTTTTCGAGTGTTTTTCCCCGCCGCTTGCATGTCAGTAACGCGCCACGTACTAACTCATCTTCTCTCTTTCAATAGGTTTCACTAAAATTATCTTTATTCTGCGAGTGCCATTTCCAGCAATCAGGTGCCATAATCTTAGATTTTCTTTTCCTTAACCTCAACATGCCGGCTGAGGTGGGTGGATCCGGGTCTCTATTTCTGTGAAAGTGCCTCTCCGGAACCCTTATATTTCGAATTCCTGAATCCCCACTGCCCCAATATGTTAAGTCCCTCCCTGGCCCGGTAGTGTGGTTGAAAGTGGCATGTTTCACATCTAGGCTATGTGTATGTCCAATTTGTTGAGAACATTTACTCCGATGACAAGTTATTTACAATTCTTTAAATTTAATCATAAATCAATGTTAACCCGTAGTATAATTAATAAAATTTCCACAATGTTTTTAATTTGATTGATTTCATTTTGTATAGATCAGTTTCCTTACATATCAAAGTTGCTATATTCATCATTTAGGCTTATCAAACATTTTGATGTTGTTTTTTCTTTTGTTGTTTGATGAAAACCATGTCGTTGAAAATGGCACGTTTCACATCTACGCTATGTGTATGTCCAATTTGTAGGGAATAATTACTCCGACCACAATTTATTTCCAATTCTTTAAATTTTAATCATAAATCAACGTTAACCCGTAGTATAATTAATAACATTTCCACAATGTTTTTAATTTGATTGATTTCATTTTGTATAGATCAGTTTCCTTAACATATCAAAGTTGCAATATTCATCATTTAGGCTTATCAAACATTTTGATGTTGTTTTTTTCTTTTGTTGTTTGATGAAAACCATGTCGTTGGAAGGGTCACGTTTCACATCTAGGCTATGTGTACAGTATGTCCAATTTGTAGGGAATATTTACTCCGACCACGATTTATTTACAATTCTTTAAATTTAATCATAAATCAACGTTAACCCGTAGCATAATTAATAACATTTCCACAATGTTTTTAATTTGATTGATTTCATTTTGTATAGATCAGTTTCCTTAACATATCAAAGTTGCTATATTAATCATTTAGGCTTATCAAACATTTTGATGTCTTTTTTTTCTTTTGTTGTTTGATGAAAACCATGTCGTTGAAAGTGGCATGTTTCACATCTAGGCTATGTGTATGTCCAATTTGTAGGGAATAATTACTCCTACCACGATTTATTTCCAATTCTTTAAATTTAATCATAATTCAACGTTAACCCGTAGTATAATTAATAATCTTTTTAATTAGATTGATTTCATTTTGTATAGATCAGTTTCCTTAATATCAAAGTTCCTATATTCATCGTTTAGGCCTATCAAACATTTTGATAGACTAGAGAACACACTGAATAATATTTGCTCTCAAAACCAGTGACGGATTCACTGGGTGGGGTCAGCCAGCCAAGGCCCCTTCCCCCTCATTTCCTAGACTGCCACCAAAAAAAATGTTTAATATTCGTTCAATATGCATCTTCAAAATCTAATAAGACCTCAGTATATCAAGAATGAGATCAGGCTTATTTTATGGATTCTTGATTTTATATATTTTTTACTGTACGTCTACCCATCTCATCCACGATGTAAAGAGCTTGTAATTATTTGTTCATAATTGCAATTTCCATTAATTCCATTTATTTATAATATAACATTTACATTTATGGTAAAAATTTAGTAAAATCCGAAAAACCATGTCGTTGAAAGTGGCATGTTTCACATCTAGGCTATGTGTATGTCCAATTTGTAGGGAATAATTACTCCTACCACGATTTATTTCCAATTCTTTAAATTTAATCATAATTCAACGTTAACCCGTAGTATAATTAATAATCTTTTTAATTAGATTGATTTCATTTTGTATAGATCAGTTTCCTTAATATCAAAGTTCCTATATTCATCGTTTAGGCCTATCAAACATTTTGATAGACTAGAGAACACACTGAATAATATTTGCTCTCAAAACCAGTGACGGATTCATTGGGTGGGGTCAGCTGGCCCAGGCCCCTTACCCCTCATTTCCTAGACTGCCACCAAAAAAAATGTTTAATATTTGTTCATTATGCATCTTCAAAATCTAATAAGACCTCAGTATATCAAGAATGTCTGAGTGGGCTCCACCAACTCGAGCTCAGAAGGGCTACTGTATGTCATTAGTCCCTCCCCCATTTTGTCCACTTTTCACAAATTCGCACCCACCCAATCAGATTCCTGCGTACGGGCCTGTTCTCCCCTAATCATAATGATTGGTGACTTGTATAGCACATAATACATAGTCCTTATGTCCTGCAATGTTCGCTTTGTTTAGAGTCTGCTACCTGGTAAACCAGTGCACACTGTACACATTGTTTACACTGGGCCTACAGTATATAGTCCTTATCTAAGAAGACATGTTCAACCACCAGAACCATAGACAATTATGCCTCTCGAACTACCTTTCATATTATTGTGGCAGTAGCCATTGATGTCCCTGCCTTTACCACTCGGCCATCTCGATTCAATAGCAAGACAAATAATGATAAGAAGTGGACAGCTTAACAGGTCCCCAGCTTCTGTTTTAGTAAACCTTTACTATAGAGATATTTTATTTTATTTTTCTAGAAAGAGGAAAGCCATAGAAAGGCAGAAACATTTACTGGCAAGGTTTGCATCACAGCAAAAGCAATTCTTGGAAGAGAACCCTCAGATAGGAGGTAATAATTGTATTACTGTATGTTTATTTTTATTTACAACTACGGTTTGTTAATCATGGTAGTCAAAGGATCGGTAGGGCACACAGCAAAGTTCGAAAAATGAACCAAAGAGTTATTGGAAGTTCAATTATAGTCTAGTCTGAGCAGCAGAATATACTCATAGAAAATGCTCAAATTAGGTTGTATTTTATATGATGTATTTTCTTTTAATCATTTACAGTTGATGATTCCAGAAAAGATGGCTCTGTTGCTATGGAAACGGAATCATTTAACTCATCAGTTACCATGCAGGAGATTGAGTGTGTAATATGTACGCAAACTATCCCAGCATCTGATGAGAATCCTCTAGGAGCTGTGGTACTTATACAACCTACTAAGGGTAAGCACAATCGGATTAACCTCAGGTTTTTGTAATCTTAAATTGACTGTTTGTCAATAATTTGCATTCATGTAACTTTGAGCTTTACATAATCTACCAATCAATTAAAAATTTAGCCTTTTTTCACAGTGACAGTGTGGTTTTCCAGCATTGTAAAGGACTTGAATTTCAAGTCGTAGGTTCATATACTCAAAGCTCAATCTTCATTTTTATTAATGACAAATCCTATGGTAGTTTTCCTTTCCTCACTATGCATCACAAGTATTACCTCTGCCAAAGAGGTTATGTATTCGCCACTGTCTTTCTGTCTGTCTTTTAGTAAAAACTAATAAATGGATCATCATAAAATTTAGTGAAATGTTACATAATAATCTAAGAAAGAGATTATTAACTTTTGGAAATAAAAGGTCAAAGGACAAGGTCAAAGTCAAATTTGTCTTTAAACTACAATACCCTCAAGAATAAAAGAAAATAATGGAATCGCCTATTTTGTTCGATATCTAGGCACAGGGCGGAGGTATGCACTTTATGAAGTGACTGCTCTAGTTACTTTTGTTTTTTTGTTGGTTGTTGTAATAATTAAGTGTATATAATATTATAAGTCAATCGTGACGTCATCACTGCAACTCCCGATGTTATTTTCCTATCCCTCATAGTTCAATAATTTTTCAATTAGTGGAAGCTTGGCTTGATTTTTTTTAGGTTCCTGTGCAAAAATATTACTCATTTTTTTGTCACCGTAAACAATTAAGAAATTCATTGAATCAATGGACCCTCATAAACAAAACAAACTGAATGTTTAATAGGAATTTTCTAGACCTTTTTTCAAAGACTCGAGGAACAAGTTTAGATGTAGGCCTACGGCAAGGCAGGAGGCCACTTAGGCCTCCTCCTAGTACTAGGCGTTAGCCAAGCCTAGTTATGAAATCATCGCATAATTTTTACCTGTCTGTCTGCATGCATGCACCGACCAAAAAGGTCAGTGACTATTCTCTTTCGAATGCTGAAATGTTTATTTCTTTGACGAATGTCTATCAAAATAGCATTAAAAACGAGTTCTTGCTAACACCATACAAATTACAATAGTTATGTGTAGTTAGCGCGTACTGCAGGAGCACAAATCAGCATACGCACAGCTAAATGTAAATACGCACATAGTATATACATATCATATCACTATAGCAACCGATGACTGCTACAACAGTTGGTTAACCGATGACTGCTATAACAGTTGGTTATCAAAAAAATGATTATACTTAGGTTAGGCGCGATCGCCAAATTATTCCAGACGACAAATCTGCGTTCAGAGGTGTTTTCTATTGTTCTACCAAAATGCGTCTGAAAACGCTGTTTGAATAGCGCATTGTTTGGACGCCGATATTCCGTTTTGGCCTTTACTCCTTTCCTTTAACTATGGCCGATTGGATGCACCGTAAAACGTGTCCAGACTGCTCCCTATAATGAATCATAATACGCCTGACTGCGTGCCCCTATACCCAAGTACGGACTTGTTTACCTGCTACAAACGTCTCTTTTTACGCCGCCTGTGTGTGCAAGGACTGACAAAAGTACGTAAACTCAGGGAGGTCCCTGTTCGATGCTAAAAAAATAGGCGGTTAGGTACTGCGACGTCGTTCAGTAGGCCTAGTACCATGCATAGGTGAGACTATCGTACTATTCAGTGAATTTACGAATCGATGAACAAATATAACGTTAAAAAATCCGATTTTTTAGTTTTTTCCAATGTAGTCGCAGGCCACCATCAGTTTTAAGAAGCGCGATCACCATCCTGTGCAGCTGTGGTAACATCCAGCACAGCAATTAATTGCTCTCCTTGCTGTTGAAAGGGATCACGTGCTACGACCCATGCCTCCAAAAATGTTGTCCTTGATCAAAAGTATATGGAATTTTTCATATAAAGCTAAATTATATTTACATTTTATAAAATAATGTTTATTAATTGAATTTATGTGAATTTCATGCGAAACATGTTTTTTATGCCGAATTTCCTCGCGAATAATAAACATTTAAGGCTAAACCATTGCCTACCCAGTAAAGGTTTTACTGCAAAACTTGCAATATTACTGTAATTTATTTATTTATTCAACTGAACATACACTTTTTTTTTCAGTGGCACATGCAAATTTGGTGCGTTCAATGTATAAAAGAGAAAAAGAAAAACAACTAAAAATAAGTAATTGTAAAAAAAAAAAAATGTTATACTCGTTTGAAAATTGACATTTCTGAATCACCCAGTACTCTACTTGTTTACACATGTGGTTCTGGGCCCTGCTCTCTGTACCCAAGGCTCGATCTCTCGATTGCTGCAGTTTTAGTTGAAAAAAGACTCTGTAGTTCGATCAGTTAAATAATAAATCAAAACTAAAGCTCATGACTTGTTGTTAATATGACAAGTTATTGTCTTTATCTAAATTTTACTAGTCAACCAAATATACATCTCTCGATTCGGAGGACCTACATAGAATTTACAGTAAAGAAAATGCACTGCTGCATAGTATAGATAGTAGAGTGTAGCCTCAGAAAATTGTAAGTAACCAGCCGTGTGCGAGGATGAAAAGGATAGGCAGACTACCTACCTAGGCCTAGATTTGATTTTATATTTAGGCCAGAATGTAACGCCAACTTACCATGGCACTTAAAGTATATTTTTAGTATGTTTGTTATTTTTAATGCCAATGTACCCTCCTTCACTTTAGCAAAGAAAACGCCAGTGCTATTTTTAGAGTCTCGACGATTGACAGAGCAGCGACAACCGTCCAAACGATTCACCGTCTTCCAGATGCGAGCCGTAATTCAAGTGTGTAGCAAATGAATATTCATATAGGTGGTAATTACAATAGTAGATGTCTCAGACGCGTTCGTGATAGTGTGTTGACTTAGACAAGTTTTTTGCCGTCTGGAATAATTTGGCGATCGCGCCTAGATTTAATGCATTAAAAAATTTCCTTTGGGCCTTGCAGGCCTTCAGGAAATTTTTTCAAGCACTAAATCTAACCTTTGTATAATAATTTTTCTATAGTGTACTATGCGGAGCTCTACTAATTGCTTATTATTCTATATTTTGTTAACCAGTTTTAGGTCATAGATATGTTACAGAAGATGGTACAGATAGCCAAGCAATGCAATCAAGTGAGATTATAGTAAAACCAACAAGAACTTGTAGTGTAATCAACGAAGAGAGGAGGAACATTTTATGCAAACAGTTTTCAAATCATAGAAGCCAGGTAAAAGTTTATGCATGTGGAAGTGAGCCCTCTATTCATTCCTGTCACATTCTTGTGTGTATGAATACATCCAACTTCTACCACTTCATGGTATGGGGAGTATTCTTTGCAATGAAGATGCAAATAAACCTTGTGGAAATGTTTTTGAAATGTGATTAGAACCTTAAACCCTGGTGATTACTGTTCTGTATAACACCTGCTTTAAACAGACAAAGTAGATACAATTCCTTGCCCGAGAATAAAAACAATGTGATCTCCCCATAAGCCCTGCCCGGACTATCAAATTGTATTTGACAAAAAACTGTTGTATGCCCATATATTGTGATGATGTGCCTATAAATATGCTCATGATGTGATATCATCATTACCATATTTAAGCATGTCACATGTTTTTGTAAAATAAAATTTGATAGTCTAGAGATAGGACCTCGGTTTGTTGACAAGACAATGCTGTACAGCTGAAATTATTGGACATAATCATAACTTAAATACTGTGTTTTATAACCTAGATAAATTTAGGTAGGTATTTGAATAATTGAAAAAATATCCACAACTAAAGCTAAAGTAGATCCGTTTATATCTATCTGTAAATTTTATTTGATAAATTTTAATATCTTAATAAACCTCATACTTTTGATTACTTTCAGGACTTTTTAAGTAGGGTTGAAATATTGAAGTTGAAACAAAAATCTAATCTCTCTCTCTTCTGTCTTTATTACCAAAACACAATTTTAACATTCACAATGGGAAACTACTATGATATAAATTTTTTAGATAAAAAGAGGCTGAAAAGAAGCGACTTCATGCCTAATTTGCTCAACATCCTATGAAATCAGATTAATAAATAAATTAAAACAAACGCTTCATTTTAGTAATAATAAGGTAAAACCATGCCATAGAGAAAAATTGAAGTAGAAATTGAAGTGTATCACCTTGTCCAAATATGTCTGTGTAGTTAAATTTAATTTGATTACTTAATTGAAAATAAATCAAGTAATTAAAATGGAAATGAAATTGATAACAGCAGTGACAAGCATTAGAACATAATTGGAAAAGCTACTTTGCAGATGTCTTTGGTGTATTGTAAAAAGCCAAAAAGTAATTGTTGGTGACTATTTTTATACTTTACAAAGTATTCAGGTTTTCTTCCACCCATATGATAGTGCATTGCATGCTCTGGGGTTTCTTATCATACAATATAAGGTTTCATTTAGTGCTGTCTTGTACAGTTCATCTCCCACAAACTCATCATAACCCAATTCCTCCTGTAAAATCTGCAACGTATATTGATTGCTGCCGTGCACTTGGGGTATCCCACGCTCACTTTACAACACAAACATTCCAATTCTACCTCTGCAACTTTCACTTCAGCTTGTGTGGGATGGATAAACACTAAGCATCCAACTAAGCCTGTCCTCTCAGCTGCTGTCATTAATATCAGGCTTGCATACAAACTATAAGTCTCATTTGTTGATTTCTGTAAAGTGATGTAAATGCCAATAATTATATAGTGTGAAACAAATTTAAAGAAGCGTAAGGCAGTACAGTGTGTTTCAATACTTTGACCTAAGCCAGGCACACACTCACTGACAAAGGTCATCGGTTGAAGCAATTCCATGACAAAAACAACACGACGAGGCACCAACAAAAATCATCAGCTCTCCTAAATAGCAAAGATGGTTTCGTCGACCCTTGACCATGCTGCTTGTGCCTGCTTTTATAGTGTATAACAATTCCCTGATTGAAGTGAAGTCATCCTGTAAGTTTTTTTTAAAGCTGTTTTCCACTAGGCAAATTTATTCGGCAAAAAGAAGGCGTTGGTTTGTTTCCTGAGATATGATTGGTTGTGCATATTTTTTGCTTCGCAAACAGTAGAAACAGTTCGAACTACCGATTTCCCTGAAGCAAAAACTCATATAGAATCGTAAATGCACATGCGCATGAACTGTCGCTTTCAACTCGCGCGAATAAATTCGCAAGTGGAAAACAGGCTTTGTGCCACTCACTGAGTGTGACTTGTGCTTCTATAGTTAAATAGTTGAGTCACATCATTAATGTGTTCAAAAACAGTGTGCTCGCATCTGTTCTAGTTGTTTCCTCCACTGAGCTAGTGCGTAGTGACAGGATCTGGATGTATTTAGGAATTCATGTTTAAATTAACAGACATCCTCTGTAGTAAGTTTGTGAGAGTAGTACTGTATGTGGGTTTTTGTGAATAAATAATTAAACTGTTCAAAGATAAATAATAGTTCACTGTAAAGTTGCTTGAATGGTAATGCTGAAGTCTCTGTCCACACTATCAAATTTTCTTTTAACAAAAACTATTGTATGCCCATATATAGTTATGATTTGCCTATATATGCTCATGATGTGATGTCATCATGACCATATTTTATCATGTCACATATTTTTGTCAAATAAACTAAGTCTGGACAGGGCTTAGGACCATTAGTCCTTCTGAAGTCAAGTTCTTTTTTCTTCTTCTTTATTTGCCTTTTTCAAGTTTTATAACTTAAGGTGGTATTTGCAAATTAGGAAACCAAAAATAGAATACTGTATTCTTATTCAATTTGTTTATTTACACTCTTTTTGCAGTGTACATATAGACACCAGTGGAAGTTTCTACTCATGCCTGAATATGATAGGCGATTCCATTATTTTCTTGAGGGTTTTCAGACACAGGGCGGAGGTATGCACTCTGGAGTGACTGATCTAGATTATTGATGTGAACATTGTTTTTGATTGTAGGATTCATCAGCCTTTGAGGTTGCTTTGGGATATTCACCATCTGATGTCCATGTACAGACATGTGGTCATTTTCTTCACCTGCAGTGCTATTCAAATTATGTTACATCTCTGAGAATAGGTGTAAGTATAACTTCTCTATGTGTTTTTATTTTGGCTGCAGTATTAATTTAAGTAAAATAATACCAAGGTAATAGAAAATTTGTACATGCACCTCTAACAAAATATTTTATAAACTACTGTAGTTTTATTTTAGTTTTTCATATGAATAATGATGCAAATTTAAAAGCCTGTACTTTATTTTCTTCATAATATAAATTTCTTTTTGGTTTTTTTTATATATATATATATATATTTTTATAATGTATTTATACTGCTAGTCCATGTTTCCCCCATTGCTTGGAGAGCCACTCAGACAGTAATTAATTTTACTTTTTGGTAATCCTGCCGGCTCTTGGGGGAAACATGGATTACCTTTTCGAATTTTCTGAATATTTTACTGTATTGTTATGATAAAAAAAAAAGGCGAAATAAATGAAATGAAATGAAATGAGTACTGTACAGGCAATAAGCCTATTGGTTAATTATGATGTAAGGTGACCAATAAGGAACTTAGGCAATATAGAATGCTCTTGAATGCTCTGGGATTGTAGAGCTGGACGCAGAGTTCCCGGAACGCCGCCTCAGCGGCGTGTGCCAAGCACAACTTAGAGTCAGGAGTGGAACATATATGGTTTCGTAGTCAGATTTTCAAGAAAAACTTCAACTACCCGTATTTCTCGACTGAGATGTCAGTGGGAGCTGTAATTTGTATGGCAAGGAGATGGTGCTACCCTTAATTCGTATTAAGGGAATTTATGCCCACAAACCTTGTAGTTATTAATATTTTAGTTATAATAGAAAATTTGTATTTTTTGGTGACGTCGCACTATAGTTAGTATGCATACGTCATAAGCTAGATTACGTCACCTTTTTCTGGTAAGGCAAACTTTCCCGGCATACTTTTTTAATGGATAAACAAACACCACTGCTTTGCACATGAATGCCTTGCCTAGCTAGGGCTACAAGAGCCGCATAGTTAGCATATAATACTTAAACAAGGTATGTCTGCAACTGAATTATTCTTAGGCCCTAGTTGGTGATCTGCTTCTCGAGCGGATCACCTCTTGTTATTGTACTGTCTTCTTTTTTGGTGATCCACTAACGGAACGTTAGCGGATCACCTCTTGTTATTGTCAGAATCTTTCTTTCTTTCTTTTTGGTGATCCGCTAACGTTAGCAGATCACCTCTTGTTATTGTCAGAATCTTTCTTTCTTTCTACCTAGCCTAACTAGGCTAGGCCTATCTCATGAATAGGCTCTCCTCTCCTTAGAATGCCATCCTTAAAGTGCTAATATTCCAAGATTCTGTATCCCATCCTTTTCTACTAGTCCATTATGTATGGTAAACTAGGCCTAGGCCTAGTCCTAGCAAGGGCCTTAAGTCAACGACGTATGAGCAAAATTGTCGCTCCACAGGTGGGCCAATAATAAATCAGCATACTAGGCCTATATAAAACGGAAACTCACGGAAAAAGACTCGAAATTAAACGTCAAAACAAATTTTCATTTAGCGTAACAATTACAATAATTAATAATGCTATCTAATAGTAACACATGGAAATCAGTAGCTCACCTTGGCATAACATTTTTATATTTAGTGAAATCAAACATGGTCTACCTACACAGAACTTACTTTTGTTTGGCATCGCACATAAAAAACGTGGAGGCAGGTACCTATTAAACATAACATAAAACTAAAAGGATCCGCTGAGTGTTGAGTAATTTTCGTAACATTCTTAACCTGATGTGTATAAGAGACAGAGTGCGTAGTGACAGGATCTGGATGTATTTAGGAATTCATGTTTAAATTAACAGACATCCTCTGTAGTAAGTTTGTGAGAGTAGTACTGTATGTGGGTTTTTGTGAATAAATAATTAAACTGTTCAAAGATAAATAATAGTTCACTGTAAAGTTGCTTGAATGGTAATGCTGAAGTCTCTGTCCACACTATCAAATTTTCTTTTAACAAAAACTATTGTATGCCCATATATAGTTATGATTTGCCTATATATGCTCATGATGTGATGTCATCATGACCATATTTTATCATGTCACATATTTTTGTCAAATAAACTAAGTCTGGACAGGGCTTAGGACCATTAGTCCTATATGAGAATGTGAGGTTGTATTGTGTTAAAGGCTGAGCTGAAGTCAATGAAGAGGAGGCGTGTATAAGTGTTTTTCTGATCCATATGTTTGTGGGTGTAACGTAAGTGTGTGGCTGTAGCGTCTTTTGTCCCTCTGTGTGATCTATATGCGAATTGCATTGGATCCAACATCTTGAGCTCTAACATGCCTGCAAATTATTCTTTCCAGGCATTTCATAACCAGGGAAGTAAGGGCAATTGGCCTATAATCATTAAAAGTTCTAACATTATTACATTTAGGAATGAATTTATTAGACCTAAAAGAAGCCAATTTTTTTGTTACCGTTCACATAAAAACATTTTAATTTGTAAAATGATGTTCACATTTAGAATTTTAAAAAATAAATATAATTAGGGTAATTCCACCTCAAGTCAACCAAATTATGGAATTTCTCATGTGCTTTTGTCTTAGATTCACTTAGATCATTCAAATTAACGAAGTTCCAACTAGGTGCATTCTCTCTGAGATATCACCATTGTAATATTTACTGTATAGTACAAAGTTTAGCTAAAAAATGTGAATGAATACATTATTAATTAAAAAAATATTAGGTTTTTGTTTCCAATCAAAATTTGACAACATATCTCAACTTTCTTTCCCTAGAGACATAATCTAAGGGCTGGAGAATACCTTTGCCCCCTATGCCGTCAGCTTGCCAACTCATTCCTGCCCTGCCTAAGACAACACCTTCAGGATAACCCCGATGGAAGCCCGGTGGACAGAAGAGACTTGAATGATCAAAGCATTCGAGAAGAAATTGAAGAGGGCTTACGAAAAGACTTCACAGTTGTTGTATGTTTCTAGGTCTTCAGTTTGTATTCTTATATTGCTCCCACTTCCTTCCAAATCCTAAGGCAATGGGTTAGAATCCTGTAAATCTGTTTTTTAATTTTTTTACAAATAAAAATGAACCTACATCTTGTTAGAACTTAAATTTGTGCATCACATACATTAGATCCATCTCACTTGTAATTGGTGAGTTTAATAATTTTTGACATGAGTAGAAAGTAAAATTGATCGGTGTGTTAAAATTTGATATGTGTTGCATGGATGTATTGACAGTCACTGCAAAACTTGTCTCATATTCTGTAACAGCCCTTAAGCTTTTTTTAATGAAGAGACGTAAAGTCTAGTAACATGGTTAAAAGGTACTATGTATTTAGTAGCTCTTGTAGGAAGGTTTATATCTGGAGTCTTGTGATTTCATTAGTTTGACAGCTCTTCAGTTATTGATATACATTTTTAAAATCATTTTATAGCATTCAACAAAACATTGATGATTACAGATTATTAGAAATAAAAAGTAATTTTTTAATTATATTTAGTAGACTGAATTAGTTAAGAGCTGTGACGTCACCAATATCATGGTTATTGGTACGATTACATAAACCTAGTGGTGTGTTTTGATGTCTATACCCTCTAATTGTGTGACTAATTCGGTGTATTCATATTACATGATTGACCAATATTTTTTTAAATATTAGATCTTTTTTTAAATACTGTATGTATTATTTTCCATTTTCTACCTATTCTTATTTTTTCTTTACTATTTGCTTAGAATCGACCAGATTCAGTAGAAAAGTTTGTAGAGCAGATCCTTAGAGCAAAGGCATTTGAATTCAACGGGGTCATCTCTCTTATAAAAATGGCAAGGTAAATAACAATATTTTTGTTTATTGAACAATATTCAAAGAAGGTAGTCTTTACATGTTGACTGACTTACCATATTTATTTGAGTAAAAGCCCAGCTTTGAAAACATCCCTCTTGAATAAACACACCCTTGAGAGCCTCATTTGCAGTAAAGGCCTCCCTTGAATGCCCCAGGGTGTTTATTTTGTGAAGTGTGAAATTAATGGGCATTTATTTGAGTGCTGTGACATGTAACTTTCTTGACTTTGATAACCGCAACTTAAACTGTGATGCCAAACGTATTAATACTTTAAAAATCCTACGCAATAAATATGAATTTCTTAGACCTGAAAAGGAAATGGTGTTGCGATAATGAAGAAATCTATTATATTACATCTATGACCAGCTTGTTCTCTGATCCATCTAATTTTCTATTTTGATAATATTCTACCTCTAAGACCTATTATATTGACACAGCCGGCACTTGTTATTACCATGGAGGTATAAAAGAGATCTCAGTAGCTAAGCTCTTATCTAACCTACTGGGGCCTCTTCTGTTAATGATTTTGTCCTTAAAAATTTGTTTGATGCTGCTGAAAGCATTAATTGTATACCAGACCATTTATATAATTTAGGTTACCATTTTGTATCTTTTGATGTTGAATCTCTTAAATGTTCCCCTTACTAAGGTAATTAATATAATTCTTGATAGGGTTTACAATAAGGAATTGATATCTACTAATCTTAAGAAAAATATGTTAAGTAATAAATTCTATAAACAAACTGACGGCGTTTCAATAGGCTCACCCCTTGAACCAGTTTTAGCCAATATATTATTGACTGAACTAGAAGAGTCTATTGTTCCTAAATTTATAGAATCAGGTATTATTAGGTTTTATACATGTTTTGTTGATGACACGCTAGTAAACCCAATGATTTTCAACTCATCCTACGTCACTTTAACGCTTTCCATAAACAGATTAATTTTACATTTGAATCATTTGAAAACAGTGATTTAGTACATTTTCTGGATTTACAATTTGAGAACAACGTAGGAAGCATGAGTATATATATCGTAAAACTACACATACAGGTCAATATATCCATTATGATAGCTTTGCACCATGGAACCATAAGATTTCTTGGATTCGTAGTTTCCTAAAGGAATATAGGAGCTCTGTTGTTTATCATTTTAAATGTCCAGGCTGTAATAGTGATTATATTGGTAAGACAGATAGATGAAAGAACATTTTTCACTATCTGATAGTGTTATAAATGATCATATAACAAAATTGTGAGGCATTCCCATATGATTTAGGTTTACAAGGTATACTTGAAAATGGTAATGTAGCCTGTAATGTAAGTATTAGGTTTAATATTGTCTAATACTAACATTATTGACAGTTCGCAAAATTGGTCTATACTATTGTTTAAGAAGCGTTTGCTATATGTAGGCTACACCCATTGCTTAACAATGGGCTGAAAGCTTCAAAGGAGCTTTCATTGTTTTGTAGGCAACTTTGATCAGTAGGGTAAGGATGCTTTGATCTTTAGTTTGTTCATAGCTATGTCACCTACTAGGGGTAATGTTTTAAATGGTCAAACACTTTTGGTACTTGTGCATATAAGCTTGCAGATATGGATAATTTTTCATTCCTGATGATGACATAATTAATGTCGAAATATTGAATCCCAACATGATGGCATGCATTTCGATACTCGGAGTATGTATTAATTATACTATCTTATTTGAGAATATACATATCCATTAAACACCAAAAAATATAAACGCCTCTTACAAACCCTTCTCAACAATAAACACCCTGGGGTGCTTATTTGAATGTATACAATAATCACACTGCCTATACATGACATAACAGTATAGGCTTTATTTAAAAAGAAAGGTTAAATGTAACAAATTTTCTAACCTATATAATATGGAGGTTCTTGTTGCTGTTTGCTGTGTATGAATAGAGATGGAAATAAATTTGTGATTATATTGATGTTTTGAGAAATTAAAACTATTTGAATATTTATCTAAATTAAATGCAATCTGAAATTAGGGGTTTATACTTCCTGTACTTGAGTTGAACATTTTGCAAAATTAGGAATAAACTAGAGGGCACTTGGAGAGTGCATACCTCCGCCCACATCATAATTCTCCTCAGTTTATATTTCCCCCGCATAGTCCCCACAATGGTCATATGTTTGTTTACACTTTACCGGGAAGCCCACACACACATCCATACGGCAGACAGTTTTACTTTAAAACTTACAAGGATACATGGATACTAGGATACTTTATTCATCCCACTACAAGGAAATTTCATGGCTGGATACAACAATGTGAAAAAGCATAAGACTGTTTACTAATAGGGATAATAATAATAATATTAGTAATAAAAAAATTATTATTAATACTAATAGTAGTTATGATATATTTGTATTAACTTGTTATTAATCAATACTGGCCACCCAAACTTAAGTAGTTTTTCGATCATTGACCTTTGACCCTGACCCTTCAAAATTTAGTCACTTCCAGATTGGTAAAGGAACATTGTGGCCAAGTTTGACAAATTTCTGATAATAACTGTTTCAAAAAATTGTTTTTTGTTGATTGTGACCTTGACATTGAACATTCAAATACTTTGAGATCTTTGGTCATGGAACATTGTGACCAAGTTCGACAAGTTTGTGATTAAAACTTCGGGCTGTAGACAAATAAATAAAAAAATAGTTTTTCGTTGATTGTGACCATGACCTTCGACCCTGACCCTTAAAAATTTCTTAGGTAAATGAACATTGTGGCAAAGTTTGATGAATTTCTGATAAAAACTATGGGCTGTAGGCTGTTCACAACTAATATGCCGACAGACAAATAAATAATATATATAAATAAACAGGGGCAAAACATAACCTTCTGCCAACTTCGTTGGCGGAGGTGTAAAAATTGTATAGTGGGCTAGTGAAAATGATGCAATTAATAAAACTGAACTCTCAACCAGTGAACCATTCATCATATGTGTGTATGAATGGATTGAAGTATAACAATACATACCTTACTGATTGAAAGAGTTACTACTTTTATTAATCAGATCATTGTCACTAGTCATTGGTCATGTGATTGTTCTATCCTGAGTCATAGTTGGATTTGTATTGTTTATCTAAGATCTCCCATTATCACCTCAGCTGCACATTATATTATAACATGTGTTTTATAACTCATAAGCCATATAGATATATGCTTTTCTTCCATAAGAAATTCCTATATTTTTAGAACAGATGGGAAGTTATATAAAAAGTTTAACCTTTGATGCTATGCTTTGATTGAATAGTATTGTGACAGAAAAATGATTTGTCAGGAAAATGATTTGTGTGGAAGAGGTAAATGAAAGTAAATGACAAACTACAGTAGTAAGAACTGCAATGAATGTTAAGTGCTATTGTATAACACTCAAAACATACCATATATTCTTGTGTTGAAGACGATACTTAAAAAAGAAAATTACAATTGAAAAAAAGAAAGGGTCATCTTATATGCGCGCATACAAATTTTTTATTTTTAAATCATGTTCGTCTTAATTAGCACACAAATTTTCTACTGAAATGAATGTCAAACTCAATTTTAAATGTGGGGAAATAATCAACTAAAAAGCCAAAAACAGGACTGGCAGGTTTCAATCTTGGTCCCGCTTGTACCAAATTTAATTTCTTTACGGCTGTGCTAACTCGCTCATAAAAAGAAAGTTGATACCTTCTTGTATACATATGCTGTCATCCAGTGTCAGGCACCTTCCACCTGTAGTGATTGGATAATGTTTCCATCATAATATGGCCATAAAAGATAATTTTGAAGATAAGTTACAAGATTTACATGGTATATTACCTGTTTCAGACAAAATTTGTAATGCAAACTTTGCAAAAATATTTTTGAAGTTCAGAAATAGGTGCGCAGGAGGCGCACAACCCCAAAAGTTTCAAAAATTTCAAGTTAAAATGTCATTTTTTTTTAGTAAATAGATATAAACAAATTGCAAAATGTAAGAGATACAGTATCAGTCAATTTTACTAGTTATGAATAGCCTACAGTACTGTGAAAAATGGATTTGACTAATATATGAATGTCTAATTTTATTACAGTAATGAGTAGACTAAAGTGGTGTGAATAGATTGACTGATACGAATGACGGATAGAGATTGAGATGGAACGAGAAATATCTGTATAACCTAATTAGAGTAGATAGAAATGGTTGACCTCTGACTAGATTAGCATAGCCTACAGTGGAGTTCTAAAAAATGAATGATTGGATTAATAGATAAAATATTTGATTATTAAATTAATGCAAGGGTGAATTTAAAGGAGCCAGGCCGGGCACTTTTGGAAAGTGGGAAAGAAAAAAAATGAAAGAAAGAAAAGGAAATTATTGAAAATACCTCAGATATTATTTTCGGACATCATCATCATCATCCCGTCTATCCCCTCAATGTGGGTTGGGTCGTCTCGACACCACATTCCATTCTCCCCTATCACCAACTCTGCTCAGATCAACCATTCTACCATGGTCCCGGACACAATCTATCCATCGCTTTTTTGGTCGTCCTCTCTTCCTTCTGCCGACCTCTACATGCTCCGCTGCCCATTTGACTAAATCATCCTTTTCTTTTCTCTTCATGTGTCCATACCACCTCAATTTACTTATCTTTTGTCTAAAATTTACAACTTTTACATTCTGTCTTATATCTTCGTTTCTCATTCCCTCCTGTATTTTCACCCCTCTAATTGTTCTTAGACATCTCATCTCTGCCACTTCCAACTTCTTAACATGCTCTTCTTTCACTGCCCAGGTTTCTGCCCCATAAAGGGCCACAGGTCTTCTCAGGGTCTTGTACACCTGTGCTTTCAGCCTTATTGGCATCCGTCTATTGTAAATCAATCCACTTAACATTCTGCCACGCATTTCCTGTCCCCTGGAGTCTTGCTAACACTTCCCTATCCAATTCTCCTCCCTCGTCAACCCAGCTCCCTAAGTATCTAAAGGATTTGGTTTGTTTCAGTTGCTGTCCATCTACTATAATCCAGCTTTCTCTTCATTATCTGTCTCACAATGAATATCGCATCTGTTGCTCCCTTGCCCATTCTAAAAACCAAACTGCTCTTCCCCTAACAATGGCGCCACAGTCTCACTAATCCTGCTGTCTAATACTCTTTCAAAGCATTTCATCATCTGTGATAACAGCTTAACCCCCCTGCAATTACCACACTCGTTGATGTTTCCTTTGTTTTTGAAGATTGGTACCATACTCTCCATATCGCATTCATTACTTTATGTATCCATCTAATCCCCTCTTGTCCCAGTCTAATACCATTTCCAATGTGATCTCATCTGGTCCTGCTGCCCTTCCTCGTTTCATCTTACTTAATGCAGCCATCACTTCTACCCTAAAAATTTGGCTGTGGATTGTCCACTTGTGCAGCTTCTGGGAGATCGGCCATAAACAGATTTTCCTCCTTGAGCAGTGTACTGAAGTACTCCCTCCACCTCTTCTTTACTGCTTCTTTCTCCACTTGTAGGACTCCATCAGCATTATTGATGAACAACGATGCCACTCTGTCCTCCTGGTTTTTCTTTCTTAACTTTGCTATCTTATATATCTTTTTTCGTGCCACCAGTGGTTGGTCTCTCAGTTCGTTGTATAAATCATCCTCTGCTCTTTCCTTGGCATTCTTTACTGCCCATTTTGGTGCGGTTTTTGCTAGTTTGTATTTTTTCTGTGTTTCCATTAATGGTTGCCGCTCCATTTCTTTTCTAGTTTTACACTTTTCCTCAATAGCATTCTGTACCTCTTCAGTCTACCACCACTCCTGTCTATCAGGCATCTTACCATGCTTTACTCTTCCACATAATCGTTCCACTGTATTTACCACTGCACTTTTAAAATCACACCACTCAGCCTCTGCTGTCCTCTCGTCCTCCACTCCCGGTTGTTGTTCCAATACCTCTTTTCGAAATCTTTCTGCTACTACTCCCTTCAATTTCCCAGATATATTATTTTCGGGCATCTAGAAAACAACAATTTTCGGGATCCCCATATCCACCCCCCACTTTTAGACAGTTCTGGATCTACCCCTTTGAATGTTATAAAGGATGGGGTTTCATGTGGGGATTGACTGTAAAAAATTGTTTTGGTGCCTATGCACAGTGACATATGCAATCTTTTCTTTATGCTGGCCTTGGCCTAATTATAGTGTTCAACATCAACCATCATTCATTCACCGTATACAATTTAGTTGGTAAAAGTGGTAATCACAGGGCTAAAATCTATGGTTGAGGTATCAAATTTAATAATTAAAGCTTGAAAAGGTGCCTTTCAAAGCATCATTTAATTAGTTTGTGCACCTCCCCAGTAAGAAGTTTTTTGGTTTTAGCTCATTGGACTCAAGCTCAAGATTAGAACAATTATAAGTTCAACTGAGTGATTGAGTTTTAGTTGTAAAAGAAATAAAAAAAGAGATGTAATATAGGTATCATTAAACTCTTTATTTTATTTATATAGAACTGAGAATATATGTAATTAAAGTCTGCCTGTAGAGTTTTAATTTTAAAACCCAAACCAATGCCTTATCAAACACTTTGTGTATGTAAGCTCTTTACATAAATCTTGTATTACATACCTGTACAAACAAGGTTTACATAGAACCTAGCTTTGATACTAAAACTTATGAAGAATGTTTTGATTATTGTTTAGCATGTTGTTTACAAAGTTATATATTTTTCTTTTCTTTTCTTGGGATATTAGAACCAACTTGGAGCTTGATCTTATTAATAGAAATGGAAGTCTTCTAGGTATGCAACCATGCCCAGTACCAAAGCGAACGTGTATTGGTATGTATAGTCAGTTGTTCTACTTTTTAGTCATAAGAGGATTATCAAAAGAAGAAGTGATAAATCTTCTATAAAATTAACAACTAGAGCAGTCTCTCCATATATTGCATACTGTACCTTCGCCCTGTGCCTGAATACATTACCAACAATGTCTACGCTCACGTTAACCATTTGCCAATTCGCCATCGGCGAATTGAGATGACGTTTGACGAATAAAAATTCCATTTTCACGGCATGTGTTGTACAGATTTACAGATACTGTCAAGTTCATGTGGAAAATTCCAGATAGATAAATTGTTTTGGGCATGCGTGCATGGGCAGTTTTGAAGCAAACAGTCTGATCATTGCCTGCACATATATTGAGCACTACTGCAGTGGATTTGTGCGCTTTATAAATCTTATTATTTTTATTATTATTACAAGACATGATGAAAATATTTTTACCATGCTAACAAGAACACTAAAATAATATTTCTTCAACGATTTCGTTTTTTTAAAACATAGTTATTCTACTTAAAGTAATACATGTATTCCGAAAATCCGAATCTCCTAATTTGGTCCAAACACAAAAATCAACTTCCAAAACCAGACAATCAGAGTTATGTAAACATTTGTAATAAGAAATAACAAAACAACAAGCATAGGCCTACTACTAGATGCCGTGAAAATGAACTATCATGCTATGGAGATATAATAAATTGATTAAAATGACACGCCAGTAAATGTTCCACCAGACAAAACTCAAACCATGTTTCTGCGGGTGATCCTTTTCAGTAGCCTGACATTTCATTAGGATTCGAACATCGTTAGATTTGTCAGTGTAAATCACAAAAATCTATAGCCTCAGTCATGTTGCTGTTTCAATTACGGAGGAAATTTGTGGAGAATGAAATTTAAATTTACTTATATTTATCTCTAAAATAAAACCATTAGGGTTTCTTTATTGTTTAAATAAATCTGTTTGATTAAATCTTCATCGTCTTACACTGAGCTTGTTCCTGTCACGCACTATTAAACTTTGGGTGATCTGACGTCATACCAATAGAAGCACGTGTTTGCACGCCACCACCGCATTTCCAAAGGCCAAACAAAATAAAATAACTGGTCTCTGGTCAGCGTGCGCGTTGATTTAGACCCTGCCTGTCAATTTTTTAAAATTTTTCACCAGACATACAACATCGCCACCTATCTCGAATTTTGGGGTGTGGCTTATCCATTCTAGGTTAGGCCATTGCTAGCCCAATTAATTAGCCTAGGGTAGGACCGGTTTGTAGGCCTATTTGTAATTATACTCACTACAGTGCATGCTGTACTAGAATTCCTACTACGATTTCTACGACATTCAAGCAATGGTTTGGGTTGTCTAAATCATTCATTCATAAACAATTTTAAAACACGCTGTTACTGTTAGAAACCGCTTTCAAAAACTACCAAATACTTTTCGCGAGTTTGGTCCTGGGGTCACGTGAGCAGCTTCATTTACGAATGTCGCAACAAAACACACGTGTGCTGGTTGTTGAAACTTGCTGTTCGACGTTCCGGGTTTCCGGTGGCTTGTACCGTTATAGAGAGAATGATCCGCTAAAATTTTAGAATAAAAACTTGTGAAATTAATTTATGCTATAAAAACACAAGTTTTCTTGAAGTTGTAATAATTATTTTACTTGAATTTGACATTAGAAAGGCATTCCTCATCTGCGCATGCGTAAACTTTGTATCGCACGATATTTCTCCAGTTCTGTTTTTGTTTATAAAATGTGGAGCGTGATAAGTGCATGCTTCACACAATGGGCTGTGAGTAGTAATGACTTAGGTCTAGATTTACCAATGTATTAAGCTTAATACGACTGTTATTAGTCACTATAATAATAGAATGATTGTTTAAAATATATAAATATACTCAATAAATATTTTATTTTCTTAGATTTTATTAAACTAAACTGATGTTGAAATTTTAACTTAGCATGACCGTCTAGCATGAAATGGGGATTTTCCTAGAGCAAGAATACGTTGTTTTATTGCGGTAACCTGAAGTTTACATGCATTTCCAGTTGTTTGTCATCTTTTTCAATAGAGAAGATGAAATTTCTTTATGTGAACATTTGTAAATAATGTCAGTGTTTCAAAATAATTAAAGAATTAAAATTATGGGAACGGTTTGGATCTTAAAAAATAGATGTGGCTTATACACAGCTAGGTGACAAAAAAATTGTGATATTTCGCGTCCTAATTAGAGGTGCTGCCTATACACAGGTGCGGCTTATATACCATAATATAAGGGCCCTTTTGGCATTTTATCGTGCGATGCCGTAGCTCGGCGTGTTGCTGAGCATGTAAGTAGGCCTATGTCTGTCGTCCTTCTCAAGCAGTGGTGAGTGAAATTTGCACCCGGGATCAAAGAAAGTCACAGCTATGGTGGGATCATCACCCGTCAGATTTTTTAAAAACGTACCCATTAATGCTGATAATGATGATGAAGACGGGGTCCCCTTGGAAAATGAAGCGAAATCAAGGACAATGTGGAAGGATAACAATGTATAGCATTAGCAAAACATAAAAACATTAAAAAAGTACTAAAATCACCTTTTCTGTACTTTCCATGCTTTTCAATAAAAAAAAAAAAAAAAAAATGCATCTCTTTAATTTTGGTCTGACCAGAGACAGGAAATTTATTTTTTTTTGGCCTAATGAGAATGTGTTGAGAAAGTATAATACATACTCCAATTATTGAAATGCACGCTATCGTGTTGGGATTCAATATTTCGACATTAATTATGTCATCATCAGGAAAATGTGTTGTGTTTAGGAAAATGTACACAAGACCGAAAATGCATGTCAAAACTATATAAAAGCATCAATTTTATTGATAATTACATTTGCTATGAAAAAATTTGACCCTTGCGAGAGCGTAGAATATGCATATTTATGATGATTCTGAGCGAATTTTGAAGTCATTTGTTTTTCTATCTCTTCCTTCGTTTATGACGCGATTAGGCCGATCTTGCAATAATATGGAAGATAAGGTGCGGGAAATTTAAAGTATGAAGAGTTTTTGCGAAAATAAATATGTGAAAAAGTATGTTTTTATATCATATCTCTTAACGCTACGGTGGGTTTCCTATGAAAGCATGTTCGTCATTAATCAGATTGCAAATCGCCTGTATATTCCACATTGTGTTTATCAACCAATCACGCCCTGGAATGGTAAGCTTTGCGGCTAATAAATGCGTCTGCACGAGTCTAGTTGGTAGCGAAGAATGAGCCGTTTTGTGGTACTTGCAAGGGTGGGTGGTCTCTCCTCTGAGAGATAAACAATGTACACCACTACTGTAATGCAGGCTGGCCTAGAGCTAGAGGAAGACGAACTAGGCCTATAGGCTGGCTGGGTAGTATGTGTGTGTAATAGATCAGATAACAGGAAATGTAGGCTACAAGTTGCTTTTATGTGTATCAAACCACATAATATTCAAATTAGTTAGTAGCGATGAGTGTATGTGTGCAGCACATTTCGTGTCAATGTACTGTAACGCAGGCTGCTGGCGTGACAAAGACGAATAGGCTGGCTGGGTATGTATGTGTGTGTAGGCCTAGGCCCTAATCTAGATCAGATACTACAGGAAATAAATGTAGGCCAGGGTTGCCAGATAGTCGACAGGCTTTGCGGCCAAACACACGCCATCTCACGGCCAAATTCTTCCAAACTTTTTTTCGATATCGGCCAAAATTCGGCCAGATTTTAATCCAATTAGAAGACAATAGTGAGCATATAATATTCATTTAAAATACAAAAATTACACGAAAAACAGCGGCCATTTGTTTGAAATTGAAGAAATTAAATGGTATACACAGAACAATGTATTCTTTTACTGTTTTTCTTATAATTAATTTAACACCATAAATTAAATGGCTGCAGCCACATTATTAAATTTGCTCTTTATAATTGATTTAAATTTATTAAATAATTTAAATAATATACAGTGTAGTCATTTTCTTGCAATAATTTTAAGGGCCTGTTATCGAATCTTTATAGGGCAAATCTGTGGCTCGCTTTCAATTAGTATGAAAGTTATTACATTAGTTAGGCAACACAAACTGGTGTTAATACACAAGCTATATGAAAACTAAATACTTTTCTATCTAAACTTTCTAAATTCGCTTCTGAACGTTACTCTTGCAGTACTTAAAACAATATATTCTTGTCGCTATCAGAATCATCTTCTTCGTGATTCTCATATAGGCCTACAACTCCAGAGTAGCTTCGAAGAAGCCTCTGCAACACCAGAAATTGGAGGTGCCATCGGACATCGAGCATTTATATGGTGCTTTACATAAAGAAAACAGCAGTAATTCAAGTAGGCAATAATAACTTAATTAAACTACTTATTTTATTTTATTCAATTCTCAAACAACAGAGATAGAAACCTCCACTTGCATTGAACTGTTGCCATAAAGTTTAAACGAATATACCTCATAAGAAATATATATTTCATAATATGGGCCCCTACTTCATAAAACATAATTATTTCATGCGAACAATTTAAATTATTAAATGTAGGCCTAACTGCTAATCTTTTTAATAAACTCTCTTACGTCAACACTTATATATTCATGGAATGTCTAAAAGCAAGAAGAAAAATAACAACGTGAAGGACACCAGAAATGTGGTCTCGTTCGGTAGGGAATATCATTCATTGCAGGTGATACCCGATCGTCATCACGCTACTGCAGTAAATATAACAATATCAAACATCTCGACTTGGAATGTAAGAACGATGTATCAAAGTGGAAAAATGGACAATATCTTGAAAGAAATGAGACGGTTAAGCATCAACATCTTGGGTGTGTGCGAAGTGAGTTGGCCTGGAGCAGGGAAAGCTATAGCAGAAGGGGCCACATTTATATACTCGGGTGGAACAGAAAATAAGCATGAGCATGAAGTGGGTATATCTCTTGATCAAGAAAGTGCTAAAAGTATCGCCAGCGTCTGGTGTATCTCTGAC